GTACATATGTTTAAGGTTACAACACTGGTGTCTAGAGAATGTTTAGGTTACACCAGTTTGTTTAGGTTACAGCACTGGTGTATAGAACAGTACACAATGTTTAGGTTACAGCACTGGTGTCTAAAACAGTACATATGTTTAGGTTACAGCACTGGTGTCTAGAGAAACACACATGTTTAGGTTACAGCACTGGTGTCTAGAACAGTACATATGTTTAGGTTACAGCACTGGTTTCTAGAACTGTACATATGTTAAGGTTACTGCACTGGTGTCTAGAGCAATGCACATGTTTAGGTTACAGCTCTGGTGTCTAGAGAAACACACATGTTTAGGTTACAGCACAGGTGTCTAGAACAGTACACATCTTTAGGTTACAGCACTGGTGTCTAGAATAACACACATGTTTAGGTTACAACACTGGTGTCTAGAACAGTACTTATGTTTAGGTTACTCCACTGGTGTCTAGAATAATACATATGATTAGGTTACAGCACTGGTGTCTAGAACAGTACATATGTTTAGGTTACAGCACTTGTGTCTGGAACAGTACACATGTTTAGGTTACAGCACTTGTGTCTAGAACAGTACTTATGTTTATGTTTAGGTTACAGCACTGGTGTGTCTAGAATAATACATATGTTTAGGTTACTGCACTGGTGTCTAGAACAGTACATATGTTTAGGTTACAGCAGCTCTGGTGTCTAGAGAAACACACATGTTTAGGTTACAGCACTGGTGTCTAGAACAGTACACATGTTTAGTTTACTCCACTGGTGTCTAGAGAAACACACGTTTCGTTTACAGCACTGTTGTTCTAGAGCAGTACTCATGTTTTAGGTTACAGCACTGTTGTCGAGAGAAACAAACATGTTTAGGTTACAGTGCTGGTGTCTAGAGCAGTACACATGTTTAGGTTAGATCACTGGTGTCTAGAGAAACACACATGGTTAGGTTACAACACTGGTGTCTAGAGCAGTACACATATTTAGGTTACAGCACTGGTGTCTAGAACAGTACACATGTTTAGGTTACAGCACTGGTGTCTAGAACAGTACACATGTTTAGGTTACAGCACTGGTGTCTAGAACAGTACACATGTTTAGGTTACAGCCCTGGTGTCTAGAACAGTACACATGTTTCGGTTACAGCACCGGTGTCTAGAACAGTACACGTGTTTCGGTTACAGCACTGGTGTCTAGAACAGGACACATGTTTCAGTTACAGCACTGATGCCTAGAACAGTACACATGTTTCGGTTACAGCACTGGTGTCTAGAATTGTACATATGTTTCGGTTACAGCACTGGTGTCTAGAACAGTACACGTGTTTCGGTTACAGCACTGGTGTCTAGAACAGTACATATGTTTAGGTTACTCCACTGGTGTCTAGAATAATACATATGTTTAGGTTACTGCACTGGTGTCTAGAACAGTACACGTGTTTCGGTTACAGCACTGGTGTCTAGAATAATACATATGTTTAGGTTACTGCACTGGTGTCTAGAACAGTACACGTGTTTCGGTTGCAGCACTGGTGTCTAGAACAGGACACATGTTTCGGTTACAGCACTGGTTTCTAGAACAGTACACATGTTTCGGTTACAGCACTGGTGTCTAGAACAGTACTTATGTTTAGGTTACTCCACTGGGTGTCTAGATTAGGTTACAGCACTAGAATACGTTGTTTAGGTTACCCCAGGTTACAGCACTGGTGTCTGCACTGGTGTCTAGAACAGTACTTATGTTTAGGTTACTCCACTGGTGTCTAGAATAATACATATGATTAGGTTACAGCACTGGTGTCTAGAACAGTACGTATGTTTAGGTTACCCCACTGGTGTCTAGAATAATACATATGTTTAGGTTACTGCACTGGTGTCTAGAACAGTACATATGTTTAGGTTACAGCACTGGTGTCTAGAACAGTACATATGTTTAGGTTACAGCTCTGGTGTCTAGAGAAACACACATGTTTATGGTTACAGCACTGGTGTCTAGAACAGTACACATGTTTAGGTTACTCCACTGGTGTCTAGAGAAACACACGTCTCGTTTACAGCACAGGTGTCTAGAGCAGTACTCATGTTTAGGTTACAGCACTGTTGTCGAGAGAATCAAACATGTTTAGGTTACAACGCTGGTGTCTAGAGCAGTACACAAGTTTCGGTTACAGCACTGGTGTCTAGAGAAACACACATGTTTAGGGTACAACACTGGTGTCTAGAGTAGTACACATGTTTAGGTTACAGCACTGGTGTCTAGAACAGTACACATGTTTAGGTTACAGCACTGGTGTCTAGAACAGTACACATGTTTCGGTTACAGCACTTGTGTCTAGAACAGTACACATGTTTAGGTTACAGCACTGGTGTCTAGAACAGTACACATGTTTCGGTTACAGCACTGGTGTCTAGAACAGTACACGTGTTTCGGTTACAGCACCGGTGTCTAGAACAGGACACATGTTTCGGTTACAGCACTGGTGTCTCGAACAGTACACATGTTTCGGTTACAGCACTGGTGTCTAGTATTGTAAAGTTGTGTAGGCATGATTGGTATTATGGCACGACAGATACTCGTGCTGGCTTGCAACTGTGCGTGGGATTGCGCGTGTGTATATGTACACGTGTATATGTTTGTAGTAACGGATGGCATTCAAATGAAGTTTTAACTAATTCGAAAATATGTTTTGTGCATCCCGCGCAAGTGTGTTTCTAAAGCCCCGTTCACATGCACCTGTTCGCACACATGTGTATAAATACACACATGAGCAAACTTTACATACGCGTGTAAATGTGTCATGTGAAAGCATTTACACACGTATGTAAATATACAATAGGAGCAAATTTACATGTGGTCAGGACCAGGTGCAAAAGTATATTTACACATGTGCAAATTTGCACTGCGAGTAAATTGTGTCATGTCATCTTCTTTTAGGGGAAAAGTTACATATTCCGGAAGCAAAACATCACATATGGTCTGACAAACTTCATGAATACATTTACAAGCAGTGGACTTCCCAACACCAAACAAATTCCCCACACTTCTATATTCTGAAGTTGAAGCCATCCAGTATATTGCGATTGCAACTTTCATTCGTACATCCCAAGTTTGGCGAACAGCTTGGTCACTAGCTTTTAAGTGCAGATAAGATCGAAACCCCCTTTGTTCATCCGAAAATTATCGTACCAGTCTTTGTCGTCACTAGTTTTATTCACGTCGTTCCAGCAAACAGACAGTCTTTCTTGTGACAGACCTGTTGCAAGAGCAGTACATATCTAATACTGTGTTTGTCTTCCCTGTTGAAGTTCAGAGAAAAATGAGATATTTTAATGCATTTATTATTCACACTTTCAAGTTTACTCACTCTACATAAATTCCATGTGAACGCAAAGTAAATTTACTATTACACACGTATGTATATTTACACATGTGCAAATTTACTTGCATGAGTAAATTTTGTGCATGTGAATGGGAGTTAAGAATGTTTCAGAGTTTGTCTTTGATGACATGAGAGGTGCCTTGAAGTAGGACGTAGAGGTTTCATCCATATGGTCGTCTATCCATTACTATCCCCTGTGACAAGGAAGGTAGCTGACATTACAGAAATCCAATTTCCACCCTTGTCGATGTAGGCTACAGGTTCTGAGTTATATTTTGTCTTGCATAGTGAGTCCATGGCGTGTGCCGCCAATTGTCGGCCGACTTTTCCAAATGTTCATTATCAAACCAACGTGCTCGTGTGAATTGATGCATTTCGCTAGGTAAAAATATAATTACAATATTGATTTTGATTATCGATCGGATCATCTTGACGGCATTTTGTTTGAAGTGATGCAGTTGGAGGTGATGAGAGGCAGAATCAGATTGGTCAACATACGGGCCATGGAAGGGCCATAATTTGTGACGCTACGATCGAGCAACGAAATTCCAGCACAAATCGGCAATGATAGAAAACGGACTTCTGTCGTCAAACTCCCTTGCTATAGAAAGATGATCCATCTATACATAGGTTACATGTTATATCGCCGTAACAATCCTACTTACATTATCTTATATCTATTCAACACAGTCATTTGTCACACATTTGGTAAATAGTCGAGTCTAATTCCAGTCATGAAGATCATGAGCATCGTCCTACGCAAATGGGATAAGATGACATGTGTCAACCAAGTTAGCAAGCCCGACCATCCGATCACGTTATTGCCTTTTACGACAAGAGTGGGTTAGTGAAGACCAAGTCGAACCCGGATCTTCACGGGCCTTACCTGTCGAAGTACATGTAGTTTCATTTAGGGTTTGGGTTTAAAAGTATATGGAGAGTATCTGTCTCTTGTTTTGTCGTGAAATGTCCATTTTTCCAGGTCTCGATGTAGGATGTAAGTGTTATTTTCTCACATGAGTTTGTATGATCTTACTCTGAAAGCTATAGTCTTGTTGGGTTTGTAAGTATTCCTACTTTAAAGTGTGATTTAACTGGAGAAATTTCAGTTGTTTATTCAGAATTTCATCACAAAATACACAATAAATTACACATATATTGTGCCTTGTTTACGCCGCCATGTTTCTAGCTATGAGAACAGTAGCCTGTAAATAACTGTGTCACTCCAATGACACCTGCGTCCACCCTATTATATCCCTTTATCACAAGGTAATAATAAGAATTACTTTAAGTTATTATTTTGGACATCTTACTGTACTCAAGCCTGAATCTTGTCACCTATCTAAACGCTTCTTCCCAAGGACAGAGTTTCCATTTAAGCTTCATGCAAGACTAGACTTGACTTTAATTGTATCTAGTAAACATACTTGGCTCAGAGATATGCCTAACGTACACGTGGCATAATATTACCTATAATTGCCCTACTTTCGGTTTCGTTTCAGTGCAGTTTACTTAGATTATACCTTTGCTGAAAATGATATAAAAATATATAAATATGAACACCTAAATATGATTATCCACCCTGTTGAAACAATACTATATCCTCACAACAGCCACGATTGAAGTATTATTGCTTTTATTTCTGAACTACAGACATATATAAAAGGATACATTTGCACCAGAAATCATTCAGTGTTATTACAACCAATACATGTGTCAATAGATAGTTCGATAGATGTGTCAATAGATAGTTCGATAGAAGATTCATACCTGGAGTATCGTAACTATACGTACCACTTACCGTTATTTCACAGCAGGGAACATGACAGATCTAGCGGGACACACAGTGATGTACATACACCACGAGCAGCTGATTGTGAGAATTGACATCAAGGGAGACAACTCGTGTAGCTATTTAACGGCTTGGGGGTCATGATGACCCAGGTGTAGTTGAGTGATTGACGGATATGTACAACTCCGACCGAAAACACGTTTTCCATAAGTTTGTGTGTTTTTACATGTATAATACCGATTTTTTGTCATTTGTGAAATTAGCTCTAAAGGTTACAATAGGGAAATATGTACTTTCCCAAGTTTACAATGACCTGTATGATGCCATGTAATTAATATTATAACAGCAAATGAACAACCACAAGCTTACTTATGTCGAGTGAGTGGGTATGGTTTTACGCCGCCTTTAGCAACATTCCAGCACCAGAAATGGGCTTCACATATTGCAACCATGTGGGGAATAAAACGCAGGTCATCGGCGTGACGAGCGAACGCTTTAACCCCTTGGCTACCCTACCTCCCCGACTAGTCTCGATCATTTGTATAGTCCGGAACCCTTCCAAACTGTTACTCTCCATATACAATGGGGCACAACATCGTTTCCGTAATCAACACATTGTTAAATTCTGATGACTTTTGCGGGGAAGAATATTTCTCTTGGTTAGAAACAGAATACATCATCAGCCGCTAAAATACACTGTTTTAATAAGAGGAATGTGTGTACTGAATCATAAAAATAAACAGTTTAGGGTTAATAGACATGTGCTGAAACTAATTCATTCGAGCCTTATCCCCTTTTCGCAACAGAATGAAATTTCAGTAAAGGTTCTAATGACTCACAATTAACTACGATAGTACAAAATGCTATATGTGATATATATGCCAATATTATTATAGCAAGCGTAACGTGTTCGTGTACCGTTAGATGGAGGACAGTACCATGAGCAACTGCTACAAGACATAAGGCAAGCATAAAACTGTTAAAATATTAAAATGTTCTCACTTCTAGTCTTCTAGTAAGCATCATTCACAGGTCAAAGGATGCACACACTCGGAAACGGTATACATTTCAGTTATCATTTTGATCGACATGATAATACAGATAATCATCTGCCAGACGCAGAATCTGTTGGAGACTCAGCAGAGCTGGAACATCCACGCGTACATCAAGTTCTGTTTCCTTCTCATAGTTCTTGATTGGCAGAACACAGCTCCGCGGGATACCAAACATCTGGGCAACCGTGTCAACGAGATCAGACACGGTGATGGTTTTGAAGAGACCCGACAAGTCTTTGTCCAGAAAAGGACAGACCTTCCCCACCTTGGTCAGCAGAACAACCTGAGGCACACCTGCACGAAGTACAGAAAAGAGGGTGTTATGCAAATTGCTGACACTTCAGGAATGAGTGAATGTGTTTGGTTTAACGCGTCTTCTAATACTGTTTCAGCTACACCAAGGTATGCCAGCTTCATGTAGGATGAAAATCAGGAGGTCCTGGACGTTTACCGCTTAAGTGAACACCACAAGTACGGAGATCTTGGACGTTTACCGCTTAAGTGAACACCACGAGTACGGATATCTTGGACGTTTACCGCTTAAGTGAACACCACGAGTACGGAGATCTTGGACGTTTACCGCTTAAGTGAACACCACGAGTACGGCGATCTTGGACGTTTACCGCTTAAGTGAACACCACGAGTACGAAGGTCTTGGACGTTTGCTGCTTAAGTGAACACCACGAGTACGGAGGTCTTGGACGTGTACTGCTTAAGTGAACACCACGATTACCTAGTGCTTGGACGTTTACCGCTTAAATGAACATCAAGAGTACGGAGAGCTTGGACGTTTACGCTCAAGTGAACACCACGAGTACGGAGTGCTTAGACGTTTACTGCTTAAATGAACACCACGAGTACGGAGGTCTTGGACGTTTACCGCTTAAGTGAAAACCACGAGTACGAAGGTCTTGGACGTTTGCTGCTTAAGTGAACATCACGAGTACGGAGTGCTTGGACGTTTACCACTCAAATGAACATCAAGAGTACGGAGGTCTTGGACGTTTGCCGCTTAAGTGAAAACCACGAGTACGGAGTGCTTGGACGTTTGCTGCTTAAATGAACACCACGAGTACGGAGGTCTTGGACGTTTGCTGCTTAAGTGAAAACCACGAGTACGGAGGTCTTGGACGTGTACTGCTTAAGTGAAAACCACGAGTACGGAGAGCTTGGACGTTTGCCGTTAAAATACTTAGGATTTTTATCGGGGACAACCAGGATTCGAAAACAAATATTTGGTTTCTGTCGTGCCTAGTGGGACGTAATTCTGCAGATCTGCTGCGTCTTACACGACTAACTCATCGATTACCCTGACTCCCTATTCAAACCAGTCAAAGTGGCACAGTGGCACATGTCCATCCCGAACGTACCGATCTCCTTATACAAGAAATAATACATACCAGCATGTCATATTTCAGATCATTTTAACATTTCTTTCACACAAAGTGCGAAATGTGTGAAATAAGACATCATTATGAACATCTAAAATGTGTGAAATAAACATCATTATGAACATCTAAAATGTGTCAATAAATAATAGCGAAAGTCCAGAACAGTGTCACAAGAGAAGGTACATATCGTTCTGACAATAATATGATTCACTTAACAGCTTGCTATTATATTCCAATTCCTGCCTTGATTCTACCAATAGCGTGCACGTCACACGTCAGATCAAGTAAACTAACGCTGGCGGCGGAGGGTAGCTGAATGGATAACCACGCTCAGAAGGCGTGACTTGCATCTAATTCTTTAGTCGCGTTCCATACTGATGATGAAGCATATCTGTGGTTTCTTAGATTTGTTCGAATAACCCCTTTCACAAAGCAGCTAAAAGCATCTGAGACTGTGATGACAACTTGGGTATGCTACCCCGATTGACGATCATGAGAAGATTTTTTTTAATACTTTTTTGAGGGAACACTGCCATCTTGATATTTTTTGCAACACTGCTACAACACACATTTTACGCATACATTATTTTACAATGATTATCTGGTCTACAATACCTCGAGCATTTGCAGATTCCTGAAACTCTTTCACAACCTCTAGGATCTTGTCCGAAAATACGTCCACAGTAGAGGCGTCAACGACGAACACAACACAGTGAGCTGTGTCTTCAAAAGATGGAGATTTCCTGTAGCCTCTTGTCTCTGGACCCAACTTGGTAAATGGGTTAAACTGAATACAAAAAATTATACTTGCACCTAGTGCAGCAATCGAAGCTCCTAATGGTAAAGTGATTGCAGCTCTCGGGTTGATAATATGTTCTTGCGGTAAGGGGTCCGATGAAGATTCAGATAAAAGAAGAACAATACCTCTATGGATAGCCTAGTCCTGAGCTAGTATCGCCAACAATCGCCTGCATCCAGTGGGGTGGATGTAAATCATACAGAGGTACAGTGCATGTAACAGATGTACAGTAAATCCCTATCCTCCGCGTATAGTTTGTTCTCATAACGTTCACAATGGTTTCAGGTACAAATCCGTGACATGTTACCAGAGATATTTCTATGGAAGCGTAGTAGTGCCACAAACAAAAGAAGAGCATCTGCGTAGATGATACTTGAATCTATTCTTTTATATTACAACGCTGATAGTTGGACAATTTGAAATGATTTCACTTAGGTGCAAAAGTATCCCAAAAGGACAAATAGAAATCAACAATCAACATGTTGCCAAATATAATAATACTATATATGTTTGTACTATATGCTTCAAGGGTCTCAACTTCCCAATGAAATTATCATCTGTGTTGATCTCTTGTACACAGATGAAAGTACCTGCTACGTGAATGAAAGTATTTTCGATGTAAATGTAATTATACGTATCGTCTACGTATATGGAAGTATCTTCTACATAGAGCTAAATATCATCAAAGTAGATATTTCTTTAGACTCTGGCAATAGCTTTATAAATTACTGTTCCTTTGCGCCAGGTTAATAAAGTGCAGCATGTTCTAGTCAAAATGTGGCTGAAATGATGCTGAAGTGACCCCAAACGTCAACTCACTCACTCAGTTACACAAAGCGTACTAATACACAACCTGAAATCCATTCTCAACGTGTCCATCGAGAAATGCCACCAGATCCTCGGGCTTCATCCCATTGTCCCCCTCCAATCCTCGTGTGTCACACAGACGGAACTTCAGCGGCGTGCCAGACTTCGACCTCACTTTGTAAACCTTGAACTATGTAATTCGGAAAACATAATGGACCTACGAAGAACACCGAAAAGCAACCATTGGTCATCCTCGAAAATCTCCAGGGTATATGTTCCGATAAATCTCCACTATACCCTGGTTGCATCTACGGCTCGGCCCGATGATTTTATTACCTCCCTTGGCTAGCTTTTTACCCAATCGGGTGTCTACGCTGGGAAGGTGAGCTTACAAATCACAACTTTCGCTTCTTAAATAATCTAACCGATTAAACTTGGCAATACAAATTATGCAGAGGTACTCTGAAAGAGGAAGAGGGAGTTCTTGCATATATATTTTTAACGTTTCGGACCTGTCAATTTGTCTGTATAATTTCTCCAAACATCTGAGTCGCACTGCGCACAAACCTTCGCGGCTGCGATCGCTATTTTTGTTGACACTGGCAAGCTCGGTTGTAACGGCGGCTTAGCCGATAGGCTACTGTGAGAATGCGGAGCCAGAAAAGGGAGGTAATAAAATTATCGGGCCAAGCCGTATGTGCAACCAAAGTATAGTGGAGATTTATCGTAACGTATACCCTGGAGATTATAGAGGATGAGCATTGGTGTGTACATAGTCGCTTTACAAACTATAGCATAAAGTTTCACATGAATACGGTTTCACTCTGCTGCAAGCAGTGGTCAGAATTGTAATAGTGTTAACTGTCAAATCTTGGATGAATTTTCCAAACCAGTGATTGAAATAATGAGCAACGATCCCCGGCATCGGGAAACTACCTACGATCTGTGTTTCAACTTACATGACAAGAACAGGTTAACCAAGATATCAGATCTACATGGAGTTACCATGGGTAAATTCAAATGACAAAATGAAGTTTCCTACATTCCTCTGATAAAAACCTTCATTCATTCATCATTGTAATTTTATATTTCTGCATTCACTGTTACGGAGCAAAGGCTCTCGGGTACCACAGAGTCAAGAACTGAGCATTTGAATTTAATATTTTATATTACAGATTCAATAAAAGTTGAAATCCCTCCTGACCCCAACAAAGTTAAAAGAACAAATCTTCTCACAGTTACTTACAGTCCAACTTTAGAGAGAATTTCTATCTAATCTGTCTGTAGGCATGTAAAAGTAGTTATTGAGCTATCAAAACAATAACATGGACTTGAAATTAGTAAATTCTACTTCTATGTCAGGCATACACCAATATCAAACTCAAAGGAAAAAACACAATTTTTATAAGTCTGCAAATAGCGAAAGCCACCACGTCGGAATCTGTTTGATATATCAGCCATGTTTTGTTGAAAGATATTGAATGGTTTTCAAGTTGTGCTCCGGAAACGAAGTGATTACGGACGGACGGACAGAGAGACAGACAGACGAGGCGTTGACTATATCTCCCCGCAATTTTAATTGATTTCTACCTTTTCTACTATTATAAAAGAATAGTTTCTTCATTCATATGTCGAACATACGGTAGTCTCGAAGCAAAACTTGTTCCCTGCATATTTAACATTTTGCGGTTGTTTTGGCCCTCGGATAAATCAAAATGTTTGCATATGTCCCTCAACTTCGACAGAGCATTGTCCGCAAATCTGCAACTGATTTCTTAAATACGTACCCCTTGCGTGAGACTGTGTGTGGTACTACCACTCCTCGCCTGACCAGTCACGTGACCTTTGAACATTGAGTTGATGGTGTTGAAATAGCTCGATTTGCCACTTCCTACTGCACCCACAAGCAACAGATTGACATGGTCCAGTTTCGCCTCTTCCACGGGACAGTATCTCTCAAGTTGTGTCATCAACTTCTGGTTAACATATTGCGATAATGTACCTCAATCCACGTGCACAATATAGTTATTAAGCTATATATATATAATTATTTCAACATCAATTTTTTTCGCAAATGGTGGCTGACCTGTAAAACTCCCGTGAATAATTCTGAAAAACTTGAAGTAGGCATGTACATGAATATGTTTATGTACAGTGAAACCGTACATGTGATTAGCGACATTAACAATCTCGTGGGATCTCGTGGAATCTCGTAGACTGGGATAGAGACATAATGTAACAATAGCAGATGAGTGTCTTTAAGGCATATACTAACCCCGTGGTCTGCATTGCCGATGTTTCGCCACGGATCATCGAACTCCACATTTGCGTCTTCAGCAAGAAAAGAACAAACAGATAAGAATATAGAAAAACATTTTCGGCATGTGTTTCGATGTCTACGTTAACAATGATTATGAGGGTTTCCTGTCTATTAGAGGCGGTGGGGTTGCCTAGTGGTTAAAGCGTTCGCCGAAGACCCGGGTTCGATTCCCCACATGGCTACAATGTGAAGCCCATTTCTGGGGTCCCCCGCCGTGATATTGCTGGAGTAAAATAAAATAAAACAAACTCACTCATCCCTGTCTGTTTTAGTGCTGTGTGTATCATAATGTGTTCAAATCCCGATTCCATGTTTCGAAAACTATCATTCCTAATAAAATTGGATAGCGCAAGCAGCCATATATAAGGCAAGATATGGGGTAACTGAAAAAACAATCGATCACGCACAGGAAAATTCCCTTTTGCAATCTGCAAATCTTAAGAAAAAGGTTCATTTGCTGTCCACAGAATTGTCAAATAATAATGTGCACCAAGGTAAGGTTGGGATTTCAAAACCAACATTACTAGTATGCTATTGTTATTAGTTTATTAGCGTAAGTACCAAACCGAAACATGAGTCATCAACCTATTCAGACATTTACCTACCTTTCAACCCATCCGAAGTTTCTCGTGTGAAAGTGAAAAGAGACACAACAAACAACTATGGTTACACGTAATTCCAATTCCTTCTTTCATAAGAAAAGGGCATTTACAAATTTTAATTTTAAACTATAAAAACAATCGTATTTCTGTTTGATGAGGTCGTAAAATGATTCATAATTCATCTGGCTCACTGGTTACACTTGTTGTGTCTTCTTTGGACTAAGAAAACTGTTCAGTCAGTGTTGAAGCGTTCAGTTGAGTTGTTAATGAACATTGAGATAATATATCATTTACAGTATATTAGTTATCCATTTTCACAAATTCATTTTGAATTGGTGTTAACTGTTTAATAAATGTGTTGAACAGATCTTGATTTGGTTTCTCTGTTCATAAGTATTGACTTTACCTCTATTGGTAGTTGGAAAAAGTAAGTGAACAATTTGACATGACAGACACTATATTCTATCTGGCCAAATACCTCATCTAGCTTGTTTTTAATGCCAAGATTATTTTTATAAAGAAAAATACTGAGATTTGGATGTCAACCCCATAGGATATGTTGAATTAACTCCATGTATTGCAGCGTTCATTTTACTGAAACGAATTTTATTCTAGAAAAAACTTACTTCTACCTCTGTCAGTTCAACGCACACGCACACGCACACTCACGCCATCCCAACCCCTACCTCACACACATCTTTACTCGCACCAACTCACACACGCGCGCGCACAAACACACGGTTGAAATAGTATTGTCTTCAAGACATCAAGAACCTGACACCCCTAGGTAAAAAAGAAATGGTGGAACACTCCACTCCAACGAGACAGTTCAAGAAGACAAACTAAACATGCTATTAGACATGCTGTCATTAATTTTGGTTTTGATGACAAATCTAATCGATGGGTTTTCTGAACTGCGCTTATTCAAAATTTTATTTCCTACAAAACATTTCAACTCTTCTGGATGGATTCATCCGAATGATTTTTACTCACATTCCTGGACAACATTGACTGTTGAATGTGAAAGTATATGCATTATTATCTAGTTATTGTTTCAGTTATTGTTTCCTCAACGTCCCCTTACCTTGGACCTTGTAAACATCAATTGCCGACAGCTCGAGATCATTCCCTGTGAAATCTGTTGCTGTGTCGCCAGCCATGTCATAGTCCGCCCCGTGTTTACTTGCTGGTTCACATGGGAAAAACCCATCTTCCTTCTGATAAGGACCCTCATTTAAAAAAAGTAGGTCTTCACCAAAATAAGGACCACAAGATGAATTCTGGCATATCGCCCTTTTTTCGTGTTCATCTTTTAGCCTGTACTTCTTGGGTTGAAAAGATCCATCTCTGTCAAGCCTGAAGAGAAATGCTCTGTCATCGTAGGAATAAGAAGACGACGTTACACCCCAGCTTACATTGGTGTAGCCTCCAAACACCCATCCAGCGGTATTACGTGCAACCGTCACAGTTGCTCCTAAGTTGTCACATTTGGAGTGGAATGCAGAGGCTCCACATTCATCAGTTGCAGTGCTGTAGAGGAGTTTGAACTGTTTGTTTCCTCCCAGCCAAGTGGACAATTGTTTCCGATGAGACGACGACAGATGTGAAGTCATGTTTTCGACAGTTTACTGCGCGTATAGCAGGACCTGTGGATCATACATAACAACAGCTTTGAAACTCAAAAATGGTAATCAGCATTGTCTCACGGCGTAGATATACATCGCAATAAAGCTTGTGATTTACTAACTATTGAACTCTTCTCAGTAAGTTTAAATTCTGTTATTCTTTCTCTTGAGGTATACATGATATCTAAACCATGCACTAGTACAGTTTTAAATAGCCCCTGGGATGTACATTACATTATTAATATGCGGTGAAACCATCAGCAGTTAAATATATAAAGAGAGACGGTTAAATAGCTCTACAGCATGGTCTGACGTTTGGTGTGACAGGATGGTGTCCTCCCATTTCGCAGACAGCCAGTTCGCAGACACCTTAAAACAACAACATTTACGGTTCAGTGAACAGAGTATCTACTACCTGTTACCTACACATTATAATGGAATAGTCCAAATAAAAACACAGGAACAAACTGAAGCTAGGTTATTTATTTTGAAAGATCGACTAAAAGACAGTTATTTGAATTTGTATTGCTGCAATATTAAAACAGTTTATTTTCATAAACATTTCAGTTTAACCTTCTAGTCTAACGCGAGTCGGCATCATCATATTGAAAACATTAGCTTAGCTATTAGAAATTGCGACACGGTTGTATCATATAAATCAAAAAGACACATGTGAACCTAAATATTATTCATAAGGAATAAAGAAGTTATGTGTTTTGCACACAATATTAAGATACAAGACAAGCCCACTTAATTACGATTTATTTAAGACGCATCATGTGAATGTGGCCATGGATGTGAGAATGTTTTTCATTACTTCCTTGAATGTCCATTGTATACTACCCAAAGACACAAACTGTTACTATCTTTAGAAAGTATTGTTAAAATAAGAACACTGATTGGTATTAATCTGATCTTACATGGCAATGCAGGTGTTTCATTTACTGCAAATCAGAATGTTTTCAAATATGTACAGATCTATATCTCTCCAACAAAACGTTTTCTCAGTTAACTTCTGTTGTACATATGCTATTATTGGGAGGGGTCTTTTCTATCAATTAACACAATCAAACCTCTCAAAGCTGGGTTGTTGTTTTTATTTTTGATAGTAATTGATAGTAAAATCAATTTGAGAAGACAAATCATTTATAATTTAATCATAACCAAGTTCTATTTACCCACAATCAAACTGCTCAGTAACGAACCTGTTTCAGGCTTACCCTGCTCTACTCACTAGACAGTGGACTGTTCCATTATACCCGTAGGTGTTACCCTCATTAACCTTCCAGTTCAGTGTCTGTCAAATGGGTGTCTGATAACTGGGTGTCTGTCAATTGGGAGATAACCGACAGGATATCTCGATTTAATTAACAACTGACAAGATTCACACTGTACGTAAATCAGCATAGCGCTGTATCTATTAATCCTTACACTTAAAAGAACATCGTCATTTAAATACATCACATTGTTAATACTGTATGTGCATAATTCAACATTTATCCCGGTGTCATGGGTTTTCGACGATGTAAGACAAAAACGTATTTTTTATCTGTAATATCATTTAAAGTTTGTATTTTTCTAACCTTGAGTGATAAAGGATATATTCATCTATTTCACACAAACATATCAAGTGTTCCGCTCGTAACATCCGGGTATTTTGTATGGGATTTCGACGATGACAAATACTTTTTGCTCCGCACTGCGAGGGAGTGTTGTGATCACGTGGCTTCCTATTTATATATTGCCTGTCACCAGCAGACGACTGATCTTACTGAATTTTCGCTTGCTATTATTTGTTATAAAGGCAACTGATTTTGCATCTGAAGTGGTATTAAATGATCTCGGGTAAATAATATTGATGTTTGTTTGCTTTTTATATAACTTTACTTCCGGATTTCCATTGTCAATAAAACTTCTCACGACAGCGACTGGGCACCCGCCCTACCAGTGAAACTGCTTGTGCACTCCGATTGCACACGTATTCCCCGATATAGCGCGTGCAATGCAATCGTCGAAATCACCAGAACGTCGAATCCAGCTCGTGTTGGGATATAATATGTATTATCACTTAAAAACACTTACGTTATTAATCAACAATACAAACTAAATACGTTTGGTTGAGATTATAGGTCTGAGTTCCAAGAAGGAACAGACGTGTACATGTTAGGTGTTCTCTCGTGTTGTCATTCAAAAGAATGCTGTAAACATAATTTAACGATTTTACTATTTTTGTGTTGTTGTTTTTTGTGTGTGTGTTTTGTACAAGGCGTTTTGAAGTGTGGTACAAAGATTTGTGAGTTCACATATATAAAACTGGTATTCAGAGGATGCACAGTGTCGGGAGTTTTGCTGACATATTTAGACATAAACACCTGACGTTGTGTTGTATCCTAATGTGTTGTACTATTGACGTTTACTGACCATAACATCATACAGGGGCCTGCAGGTTCATCTCAAATGGTGTCCATAATATCCCAATTCTGGAAGTTTCGGGATAATATGAAAACAAATGAGACAAAATATAACATGAAGCAATTGGTCAAGTTGCTGGTTGGCCTAACGATACTAGCCACCGCCAACAAACTCCTAACATGCACAAGCGCGCATTACTAAACCACAGGTAACCCAGTCCTGTCGACCCTCAATGATAGGAAGAAACATACTATTATTGTGATGATAACATCATGTCCACATTATCGTGTAGCCTGGCCATAACAGGTCTTAGTAGTAGGACAACATCATTTCTGTTAAAAATTCAGAAAAAGGCTAATAGATAGGTATTAACATTCTTCTTTCTTTACATTTTATTATCAATACACTGTCATATATTGTCATCATAATCGTAATCACTGTCTATATGTTGTTAAAGAGAATATTTCTAATGACCGAGGTGTCTAAGTTTGTGAGAGTAACATCTGATTCGATCTATGTTGATGTTCCCTGCTTCGATGTTTCTTTCCTATTCTCTGATGATCTTGTTGCAGCGCTGTCTCTGTTATGGATTCAAAATCGTCAAATTTAACAACATATGATTTTGCTATATACATTTGTTATTTCCCGAATACAAAAGAAAATAGAATAAATAGCGTTCTTAAGAGAGGTCTTTTCTTCTCTTCCAGATGCAGATTCTACATACCCACTCATAAACAAGCAAAATAAAGCAGATGTAAAGTTACAGATATTGTTTCATTTTTTATATACTGTTTTTCATTTTAAACCGACCGTCCCTACATTAGATCACGGTGTCTACGTGAAACACATTAAATTAAAATGCCGCCCTTATCTAATGGGCCCGACAGTATTAGTTGGTAATGCTACTTTCGGTTTCGTTTCTAACATCAGACACATAGACATCGATAGTATTCGGCACCCAGCTTTTGTCCTGAAAGTTTATTACATGACAATTGAAATTCTCGTGAAAACCGGGGAACAATGAACTGTGAACACACACACACACACACACACACACACACACACACACACACACACACACACACACACACACACACACACACACACACACACACACACACACACACACACACACACACACACACACACACACCTTTCTTAACAAGCAGTATCCGCAGTGTGTATGCAGGATAATGACGCCATCTGACCAACAAAAACATACAAACGTCCTTCACTGACCTTACAGGGTAATGGACTCTCGAAGCTATTTCCTCTTTGTCTCGCTTAATCATATCTCGCTTAATCTTTATAAAGAGAGCTAACTCTATGAAGCAAGTGTCAGTCGATGCAGAATCGTAACGCGCTCTCACACCTGAGATCGAATCGCGTGACAAACATTTGTTGTCAACATTTACGGTTGCTGCACATGAAGGTGATATGTTGCATATGATTACCACAATATCGGGAATGTTTCCCCTCAGAATAAATATGAAAATTGGAATGAACTTGTAAAGAAATACATTTTGCTGATGCTCAGTGGGGAAACTACATGGTCTTTGGTATCTTTCATGACGTGTCTCATATATTTACTGTTATTATTCCTTTGCTTTAACGTTTCATCTGTTTTGCCGTACAGGTGAAGATGAACAGAACAGTATGTCTACAGCGTACGAACAGTCCCATTTCTATTTCGAATATCTAAGCCAAAGCCGGTTAGTTGGAAACATTTTCAAGACTCATGTAATTAGAAAGTAAGTGAGTGAGTCAATAAATAAATAAATAAATAAATATTGATAAGAGTGAGTGATTCATTGAGTGAGTGAGTGATGGAGTGAATGAGTGAGTGAGTGAGTATGAGTGGGGAACTAACGTGGGATCGAAGCTGACGAGCGAACGCTTTCCCTACTAGGCAACCCCACTGCACTGAAAGTATATCAGAATAATAATACGTTAACTTTTCTATTGTAATAGCTTGGTCCTTACTACAATTACGCTCGGATCACACTGTACCTGACTGCAGACTTCGGAGTACACCAAGGATGACCCAGCCAATTCTCACTCTTCCGTCTCCCTGTTTCCTTCAACATGAACCAGGTCTCTGCACCTTGCCACGAATGTAGCCGGCCGTGTGTGTTTTATGTGTACCCCATGGCCATCTCCATCCTGAATAAAGCGGGCCAGCAAACAACGAAAACTGCTTTTAACTGTGTAAGTTCATGAAAATTTAATGTTCAGATTGTTGTTATTAGTCTCTAAACTAATATATACTAGGCACATAAAGAAGCCGTGCATACAAAAATTTAAAATCTAAATTTATCAAACCTGTGTAGACACATAAGGATTTAAACTTAGAGATTAGTGACATGTATCCAACATACATGCACGTGCCACGTTCCGTGACGTCAGTGGGTTCGTCCTTGAGACGTGCAATACGTTGTTGCACGTGCATTCCGGGAAAGAGAAACAGAGCAAATGAATGCCACACAATACTGTCACATTGGAAAGCTCAACCCCTGCCCTTGCGATCGTCCAAAAAATTAAACGGTTATTGAAATGCATAGCATGCCAAGGCTCACGTCTGCACAACGACATGAGGCCATTGGGATGGTCCGTGGGGGAATGTCTCAATGACAAGTGGCTGCACATTTCCACTGCCACCGGAACACCATTTCTGCACTGGTGAGACGCTACCAGAACACAAATGACGTCATCGATCGGCCACGTTCTGGACGTCCACGTGTAACAACGCCAAGACAGGACAGATGGATAAGGGTGACCCATCTTCGCCACAGGTTTCAGACTGCAGTGATGACTGCCCGAACCATCCCAGGACTTCGCCGTATCCACCCCAACACAGTTCGACAACGTTTACGTCATCACAGGATCAGACCACAACGTCCCGCCATACGGCCTATCCTGACACAACGTCATCGACAAGCTCGCCGAATGTGGTGCCGAAATAATGTCCACAGACCCTTGTTTTAGTGGAGAAATGTTGTTTTTATAGATGAGTCCAGGTTTAACATTTCCCATAGTGATGGATGTCAACGTACCTATAGACGCGTGGGAGAACGTTATGCACAGGCTTGTGTCTTGGAGAGGAATCGCTTTGGTGGTGGTTCCGTGATGATTTGGGGTGGAATAACAGCACGCCAAAGAACTCCTTTGGTGATTGTTCAGGGCAACTTAACTGGTGTGGGCTACAGGGATCAGATTCTTCGACCTGTGGCAATGCAACGTCATGGCCCTGGGTTAACCTTCCAACAGGACAATGCCCGCCCTCATACGGCAAGGGTTGCTATGGATTTCTTGCAACACCACAACGTTGACTTACTGCCTTGGCCTGCAAATTCACCGGATCTCTGCCCGATAGAGCATGTGTGGGACGAGATGGATCGACGTCTACGCCGTCTTCCTCATCCGCCAGATAACGTCCTTGACCTTGCTACAGAACTTGAGAGAATCTGGCGTGACATCCCACAAGCCTTCCTTGCACGTTTGATAGGCTCTATGCGTCGTCGATACACTGCTGTTCTCAATGCCGATGGTGGACATACCCGTTATTGAGCTTGTGACATGGTCGTTTGACCACTGTCCCGCTTGTGGACTCGTGACGTCATTGTGATTGACTTTTCAATTGAAATTCTCCAGGCTTGTTATGGTCTCATGATCCCTCCATTAAAGTTTATATGTACCTTTGACATTGTTATCGTACTTATCAACTGGGATAATATTTTGACAATGCACAGTTTCTTTATGTGGCTAGTATCTGATGTGGATTCAATTGCTTTGCTTGGAAAACCTTTTCTTAAATACATTATTATAAAGAAAGAAGAAGGTGACCTGTGTACCGGTGTACTTGTTTAGCATATCGGGGCATCCTATTTTCACAGCGGGCAGAAGATTGAGATATATGGACACTTTATATTAACAACAGGAACTGTCATAGGATAGTAGGTTAATCAAACCGATTCTTTATTAAGAAATGACTGCAAATATCAGTACATGTGGCAATCATGCCTAATTACATAGCAGTTGATAGCTAGTGCTCCATACCTCTAGGAACCGTCAAACCTTCAGTCAGACGAAGAGGCATGCTAGTTTATACACAGACAATGAATTGTTTAAGTCAATCTGAATTTATGACAGGAATCAGGACTGACACGCATGCACGTGTGAGGCGCTACTCCATGTGCAAACTACGTACTTGGGCGTTAGGTTTTAGGCACATAGATGTTCGTGCATAGGCTTTCTTCGTTTACAATCATATATTTTTGTTCCGATATAATTTATAGCACATGACAGCCAACATGTAAATGACAAAAATTGAATACATTGAACCAAGTGCTATAAAATCATTTCACTCTCTCTTTCTCTCTGAACTTGCTTCTCATTGCACAGCAGCTTTCTGAACTTCATAAGTGACATTCAAAATTTCCATTTTGAGCACGAAAATGTCTTTGAGTATAACTATAGGCTAAATTCGCCTCCAGTTGATGAAGAACATAGTGGCCATTGTAGAAACCAGCAGATAGATGTTGGCAGCACAGGATTCTCCCTTGTCTGAAACTGTAAAGATACATTACAGGAAGCATACTGGACTTCGACCACGAATAGAAATACACTGAAACCTCGTTGGTCCAGAAACTCCTCATTTGGACGCTTACATGTTAGAGTGAGTTTGGCTTTTAGCTATAGTCAAGCAATATCACAGCGGGGGACACCAGAAATGGACTTCACACATTGTACCTATATGGGGAATCGGGTCTTCGGCGTAAACGAACGCTTTAACCACTAGGATATCCCTACGCCCTCCTTACATGTAAGAACGTCTACATAAATCACAGTATAAAAATCATTTTTATCATAAACTGAGCCATCACGAGTTATCTCCCTTTATGATCGTTAACGATAAATCATGGCCAAACGTTTTGCGTCTCATTCTGCAGAAGATTAAATGTTGGTTTTCAAAGATAAGCTAAATAAAGTGATCTTAAGGTCTGCACCTCAGGAAATACGGAATTTACAAGGGTCTTACAGTTCGTACACCCTGTCAAAACACCGTGTAACTAATAATGTCTGGACCCCATGCTATATACATCCTGCACAATGTGCACAGCATGAGTGAATGAGTTTAGTTTTAGTTTTAGCTATGTGGCGGCGGGCTGTAAATAATCGAGTCTGGACCAGACAATCCAGGGATCAACAGCATGAGCATTGGTCTACGCAGTTGGGATACGATGGCATGTGTCAACCATGTCTGCGAGCCTGACCACCCGATCCAGTTAGTGGTCTCTTAAGACAAGCATGGGTTACTGAAGATCAATTCTAGCCCGGATCTTCACGGGAAGTGCACAACGTGATGAAACTAATGAAGAACTAATATTTAAAAAATGTCTGTTCACAATTGTTCCAAATTATACGTTATCCATTAAGGATTTTTTGTATTAAAATCTATTCTGATCAAGAAAAAGGTCAACAGTAATAACTTCAAGCATTACAAGAAATAACTGTAAACAACAATATGAAGTCTGTGGCATCGTACAGCCTGTTATCAGAGAGTTTTCAACACGTTAGTGGCATTGCCTGTGTTTAGTTATGTGAACAAAAACGCAAGATATTTTATTAGCCAATCTAATGAGATGTAATCACTTCCAATGTATCTATCAAATCATAATCCTTAAAATACATTACGTACCAGGTTCACAGGTGGACTGTCCGAAGTATGGGGGGCAGGCTGAAAAAGTGCACGTGTTTTAAAACAATAGTTCTTCTGAAGGAAAGAACTAACTGATATTCACACAGTTATTTTAGACATTATTATGCCAGTCATAATTCTCTTCCGTTAAATAAAATTCAAATTCAAATCAGACATCTCCCTGACGCATGTTTGAGTGGTTCCACATTAATGGTTTTGAACTTGAAATGGACTTTCACACATTCTAATGTGATATCTGGAATCAAGAATAACTTTATTCGTGGTTTCAGTATAAAAGTACTTTGTGGTTAACGAGGTACAGTTCAAATTTTAAAAATAATTCTTGTGCTCCGACATACCCGTGGACCCACAGATCATTGTAACGATCGCTTCAAGTAGAGCCAAATACCAAGTGAGTGAGTGAGTTTGGTGAAGTGTTTGACATTGAAATGTTACCATTTTTATGTGACGTCAGTAGGAATGCTGCAGGGTTCACACACAACATTTGTACGACGGTATTGGAACGGGACTGTAGCCTTGGAGCCAGAGTCTGGCGGCGGCTCCACACGGTTGATCTAGCAGATACACACTGGCTGTTGTTCACCTCCAAACATCCATACATGACGGCAAAGCCGCTGTAGTCTGTGTCCACCACCCAGTAGGGATATTGGTCTGAAATGACAACACCAGCAATATATGCAATATACCATGAGGATGAAGGTCAGGTTTGCTGGTCTGACTTGGGGTAGTGCTGGTTGTTTTCATATACAGGGCCCAGATTTTCGAAGCTCTCTGATCGCTAAGATAGTCGTAAGTGCCATACATTAACATTAACTTACGACGATCTTAGCGCTAAGAGAGCTTCGAAATTCAAGGTCCAGCTACGTACTTGACATAACTAGTTCATAAAGGATGACATTGTTTTACAAGGAAAGAAGAAGGTATAAGAAACATCTTTCCTGAAAGCGTAGGGAGTTTTCTGCTTGTCTACAGCTTATTTAGGCGCAATATTTAGTTCCGAATAACTCATCCTACATGTCATTAGGTCATTTTATTGTTCACATAATTATATATGACTCCCTCTTCATGCCGTAAATTGTCATAGGAGTATGTTGATACGTGTTCATAACGCAATATTCACCCCACCATTGCTGTCTTTTACTTTGAGTGTAAACTTCCCCGGAGTTTCTAATGGTTCCATAATGGCCTCCCTGTAGAAACATCCTTGCTTGTTCCTGAAAAAGAGAGCGATAATTGAATCTGGTCTCGATTTATACAAGAGAATCGTTCCCCAAGGTAAGTGTTGTATTAAGTCCAGTATATAGAAATTCTCACCAGAGTGTCTTTTGATATCAATTATATCAACACGGGTTGATAAAGTTACAAATATCCGAAGCTTGCCGAGGATTTTTACTTTTATCAAAGAGTGATGATATATTTGATACCAGATGACACGAGGGTGAGATTCTATTTATCATAAAAAATCAATTAATCTTCATTAGTTTTCAATGAAAAATGAACAACTAACGTGCCATTAAACGTGCAGTGCAGCGTGTCATAGCATTGTGACGTCATCGTGTTTTTTACGTCATAGCATTGTGACGCATGTAATTTATGACGCCAGGGCATAGTACAAAGTCTACTGTCAACATGATATCTCCTAGGGGATATCGTTTGATCTCACACAAGCAATATCTCCATTGGAACACAGCTTGGGATGATAAATAGAGAATCTCACAATTGTCTTCTGATATCAATAATATCAACACGAGTTGATAAAGTTTCAAATATCCGAGGCTTGCCGAGGATATTTTTACTTTTATCTACGAGTGTTGATAAATTTGATATCAGAAGACACGAGGGTGAGATTCTATTTATCATCCAAAATCACTCTTCATTAGTTTTCAATGAAAAATGTACATCTCTGAACACGGCACTGTCATTAGACTTGCATTGTTGCTATGTCATAGCATTGTGACGTCATCAAGTCATAGCATTGTCAGAGCGTTGTACAAAATCTACTGTCAAATAACATCTCCTCGTGGATATTTGATCTCACACAAGCAGTATCTCCTGTGGAACACAGTTTTGGATGACCAAGACGTGTATTCATGCTAGAGGAAACATTCCATATTCATTGCAGCACCTCCAGTGTTCCATTATCCATACCTTCCTCTGATGAATGCAGACACCTTCCCATCGCTTCCTGCAATGTACTCGTGTTGATAGTCTTGGAAGAGTTCTGACGGAGGGATATACGACTGGGCCAACCATTCCATTTCATACCAGCTCCCGGAGTACTGTCAGCAATACAAACCACAGTGTTAGACATATTTAGACACAATAAGACCCGTGAAGGTCAGAGTTAGAATTGATCTTCAGTAACTCATCATTGTCGTAAAAGGCGACAAACGGGATAGGGTGGACGTGGCTTGGTGGACACGCGTCATCGTAAAACGATGTTTATGTTGTTGATCACTGGATTGTCCAGCCTTGATTATTTACAAACCGCCACCATATAATACAACAACCTTATCAACTATATTGCATGGGGAAAAAGGGAGTATTCAACACAAGCACGTTACATATAACCTTCAATTTCAGTCACATTGCATTTAAGTAGAAATACCTCCTTAGGAAAATGATTAAATATAATGAAATTGTGAATGTTCTTTCAAATGTTACATATCTCACCAAAATTCACTTCCAGTTAATGATGTTCGACGGGTTGATAAAAGCTTTGAGCCTAACAATCAGGGAGTGTGGTAAATGGCTTGGGGTGCACAATATCTTTACAGTAATGCAGTCCACACACTTCTGACAATGACAACGGAGTTTTGGATCACACTAGTGTAAAGGGCTTCCCCTTGACGGTGTCCTCCACAGATGAAATGACGTCATAATCCGTAACATAATGTTTTCCAGGCAGGCCTTCCTTCAAGTTTGGGACGCTATTTTTAACAATGGGTATATACATAGGCGGGTAATATGTCAACAGTGGGTGTAGTTGCTTTGCTAGCTTCGGATTGTGTCAGTTAACGATTTGATAAAGTGGTCTTGCAGAATCTGCTATCTCACTGGGTAAGATTTAGATGCTGTGTACCTTCGCTATGTCGAAGTCTTGTTGTACTTGAAATGTTGAAACATTGCAGTTTTGACCCTCTGTTGTCTTGTACTGTGCTGGTACATCACATTCTGGAGGAAGGATGAACAACGATATGAGTTTACTTACAAAAGTTTGTTGCCAAACTGCATGTTGGTTTCATATACACTAACAAATGTACATTGTTTTAAAAGTTTTAATGGATGATTAAATATTACAAATGTATTCTTTCATCTAATCAAAACAACGCCATACAATTGGCTTCTGACGACATGAGTATGAACAGAAATAAATGAATAAAACATGTGCAATTGTAGATGCATACATTTATACAAAATAGTATGCAAAATATATAGATAATCTCACCCAAGTGTCTCCTGATATTGATTATATCAAAACGAGTTGATAAAGTTACAAATATTTTACTTTTATCAACTAGTGTTGATATATCTGATATCAGAAGACACGAGGGTGAGATTCTATTTCTCATCCAAAATCACTCTTCATTAGTTTTCAATGAAAAATGTACATCTCTGAACACGGTAATGCCATAAGACTTGCAGTGCAGCGATGTCGTAGCATTGTGACGTCATCTAGTTCATGACGTCATAGCATTGTCAGGGCATTGTAGAAAAATCTATTATGAAAATGATATCTCCTGAGATATCGTTTGATCTCACACAAGCAATATCTCCTGTGGAACACAGTTTTGGATGATAAATAAACAATGTCACATAATTCATTTTGTAAACAGTAAAAGTTTTTAAAAAGTGGACACGTTAATGATTCTCAGTTTAAACCCTCGTACCCTAGAAATCAAAACCCAAACGTGATAAACTGTAACAAAATCGTACCATTGTCCTGCTTGGTATCTAGGAAGGATGACTCAGCAAGGCAGGTCCTGTTGAAGAACGAAGTCGCTCGATCCATTATAATCTGGGGAATGGTCTGGGTTCGACTCCAGATCCAGGCGCGGGGCTGAGCACATGTGCGGTTAGCGGTTATATTTGAGCATCCGTAGACAAAGGCATAGTGAGTGTAGTCTGTTTCCAACACCCAGTAGGGCACTGCGCCTATTAAATTGAAGGACATACGAACATTATTCACTGTTGAAATGTGCATTGTATGTGGTCAGTTTACCCCGTACAGTTGGGTACAATGTGTGAAGCCAATATCTAGTGACCTCCGCGCTGATATAGCTATAATAGTGGCCAATGCGGTGCCACTCACTCACTCATCTTCTGATCAATACGCATGATTTAATTCATTCATTCATTCATTCATTTAATATGTAAAGCCTAGTTGTGAATGAACTCAGTGGAGACATGTAAAATTAAATATATAGGCTTGACAGATCCATGCTAATAAAAGATTCTCACTGACTTGCTGGAGTGTCTTGCCAAATGAACTTCCCAGGCATAGCAGTCGGGATGAGTTGCCGATTGTAAAAGAAACACTCTCCGTCTGGCCTCGATGGGTCACTGTTCAGGAGATAGATATGTACTCTGAGCAGTAATAAGCTTATGGCACAATCTATATGTATTTAGCATGACCGAGCATAGCATCTATGTCAACAGACTCTTCACTCGCATCAATGAAACACGTCAACATGAGAAGAAAGGACAAATCTCCTACAACAGTTGAGAATGTTGACATTATATCGATATACTTATTGACATATTAGTGAATGAATAGATATTACTGAAATGACACGTGATACCTTCAGCAACAGAGGATGTGAGCACATGAATGTGCCTTTAAATATTCCAATGCAGATATTTATCCTTCCGATCAGTGAAGCTCTTCTTACGAAATTTATGTTGACACCAGCCCTACCATCTCATTCATATACTGAGGGAAACAAATAAGGGAACACCGCTTCATGGCAGTGTTCCTTTATTTATTCTCAGATTTCCTCCCACAGCACTATTCAAAAGTGGTGATTAAAAACTGGAATATATTAAAGGAACACTTGAATTTTCCTATGATCCTTTATTTGTTTCTCTTAGTATTTATTGATTAATATTCTAAATATTCTGGCAAACAGTCAATATTCAACAGCAAATACATAGTCAAGCTTCTTCTTTAACGTTCATTATACATTTTGAAGGATACAAGTTTGCCCCTTTGGTTGTGTTGTATGGTTGTGTTGAATGAGTCATCAAACTGCGTTGGCAAATTAGCCAGTGTGTTCGATTATTTATGATAACGATACTAGTTTGTACTACAGACAGACCCTCGATCGATGGTACGGTAATATGAAGTCTACTGTTTGAGTGAGTGAGTGAGTTTAGTTTTACGCCGCACACGCAGCAATATTCCAGCTATATGGCGGCCATCTGTAAATAATCGAGTTTGGACCAGACAATCCAGTGATAAACAGCATGAGCACTGATCTGCGCAACTGGGAACCGATGACATGTGTCAACCAAGTCAGCGAGCCTGACCACCCGATCCCGATAGTCGCCTCTTACGACAAGCATGGGTTACTGAAGATCAATTCTAACCCGGATCTTCACGGGCTGATCTGAATACAGAAGACACGCTATGTTACAGTATTTCAAGTACAAACAGTTGATGCCCGTGAAGATCCGGGGTAGAATAGGTCTTCAGCAACCCATTCTTGCCACAAAAGGCGACTATGCTTGTCGTAAGAGGCGACTAACGGGATCGGGTGGTCAGGCTCGCTGACTTGGTTGACACATGTCATCGTATCACAGTTGAGTAGATTGATGTTCATGTTGTTGATCACTGGATTGTCTGGTCCAAACTCGATTATTTACAGACCACCGCCATATAGCTGTAATATTGCTGAGTGCGGCGTAAAGCTAAACTCACTCACTGTATTCCGATCAGGCATATACTTAAACGTTTACAGGTTACCATTAAATCAATTGTTTCATATAACCAATAACATGAAATGCCTCGTTTACACAAAGAAACTTTACACATCGTAGAAGCAAATCACTATAATGTAACATACTCACCGCCCACTGATGTAGTTGGTGATATTTTTGTCATCCGTAGGGATGTAATAGTGGTAGTAGTTTTCATACCTTTCTTCCGGTGGTATGAACGATGACGCATACCATTTGTACTCATACCATTTCCCCATATACTGCAAAAGACAAAACTCAAATACTAGACCGGCGACATATTTTTAAAACCTATTCTAAAATGTCAACTACAGAAGCGTAGTAGGGCCACGGTGAAATTTTTCTTAGTCTAATTATCTCCTATGTAGGAGATACTACGTCTTACGTAGGAGATACCATGTCCTGCGTAGGACTTAATAACTGAGTTGGAGATATTAAATGGGATGTCGGATTTTTACTGAAACATTATGAGGGCATGTGGTATCTGCACTTGTTTGGATAGCTATGCATGTTTATACAAGGGGAAGACGACGCTGTTTCGCTGTTGCACATGCATGCACATGACGAATATAGATTATGCAAATACAGATGAGATGCGTATTTGGGAACGACAGTTAGTACATGGACAATTCAAATAGAAACAGAATAAGATCACGTCAAGAACACTCACCCTATCTGTGTCAAAGTCTGCTTGAACCTCCATGTCGTCTACAATGCAGTCATTGCCATTGATAGACACAAACATACTCGCTGAGTAAAACACAAGAAGTGTGATGGTTAACATCTTGCCGGCAATGGACTCTGTAGTAGAAGGATAGTGTTGTACCTATTAGACTTGCTCCTCACTCGTCATGTATGTCCATGTAGGTCAACAGGTGACCTCGTTTGTCTCACTGAGTCCTCCTACTGTGAAATGAGTGCGTGTACATATTGATCCAAGTCCTCATGTAGGGAGTGTCGAAAGAAAATCCTATGAACACAACTCAAGAATGCAAAAACACATTTCAGGGCATACAAAGAGTATATATGTATAATAATGCTTTGCGTTGTGCGTACGTGTGTGTGTATGCATGCATGCCTTTATGCATGTATGTAGCGTTTCGGGATATTACGGGTTATCGACTGTTTGTGTTAGTAGTTTTAGGTGTTTCACATCGGCGTAAAGTGTCAATGTTCAGTTTACATAGCACACGTGACAGTTATTGTCATGTCCACGGTTCTATAAAGAAAATCAATCTACGGATTATCGGCTAAGCCTTTGAACAACGTATGTTGTTTGTACACATTGCACAAGGTATGCTTTAGTACACCTACACCTATAAATATTTACCTTTGACAAATCCACTGTGCAAGAGTGATGTTTTTCTTTCAGTTCAACTGTTAATTTCTCTCTTGTCGCACCTCCACAAGACATGATTAAATAGCAAATACAAAACAGGGAAATGGAGTCCAAATGAATCTCAGTCATCGTATCATATACGCATCAAAAATATAAAAAAAACTCTGCTTGCACTGATAATTTTTATAGTCAGACTCTAGCCATCATGTATGTTTCCAAATAACGGTATCAAATGGGATTCGATCGTTCCCACTGTCTGCTTGTTTAGTTTGAAGAAATTCATTAACCCCCGATGTTTACCGATGCTGATTTTGTTGATCACTGGATTGTCTGTTCTAGAACTGTTCTTGCAACAGAACTATTCAGTATGTGCGTACAAAACAATTCATCAATTACGATTATGTTTCATGCACACTTTGGTCAACGTAGGTACATAATTTAATATATTCCGTGTAACCTTGTGTTTACAAACCAGGTGTATTTTTTATATATACCTATAAAATATTGACAGAGGATAGACAACAAAGATAACAGGCGATTGACCCCTTTCTGACTCCGCCTGTGTCTCTTCAGAAGGTGGGGAGATGGGAAGAAAGCGTTCGTCCTTTCAAAGTGGAATGATCTTCGCGTTTGCATTGAGCTACTATTCGCGTTCTCATTGACTACATATTAACCACGCCTGGATACACGTGGGTCTTAAGGTACGTGACCTCGTAGACATTCTAGCCGTGACAAGAGGACATTGTGTGTACAACAGTCATCGCTCTGATAAGGCTGTGTCTGTATAACATCATTATGTATCTGTTTGTCCGTGAGATCCCTGGTTACTCTGGAGCAACAGCTTCAACATCGACGATCATCAAATATCCTTCCACTTATGAATTCATCAATGTTGAGAATTGTTAATCACATATAATGTGAGTATATTACCTTGGACATTCTCACTCTTCCGTTTCCCTGTTTCCTTGGTCACGATCCAGGTCTCTGCACCTGGCAACGGGTGTAGCCATCCGTGTGTGTTTTATGTGTATCCCATCTCCATCCTGAATAAGCGGGCCAACGAAAAATTGAAAATGTTTTTAACTAACTGTGTAAAATTCATGAAAATTCATACAAAGATTTGAAATAATACCATATAACACCTGCTAAAATGTTGATGCGGTGTTTTACTTCTTCATGCATAAGCAATTCTTTTAAGATTTATTGACAAAATTTGATATCACCAATGACGTACTGACCATACTGTGTCGTTTTTATATATTCAGTTTAGTCAAATAATGTGTCAAGTTCATTGTATTGAGCAGTGTATTTGTGTATTTATTCGTATACAGATAATTTTATTTAACTATGTTTATCATAATCATCAACATTTCTGAAGCATAATCAACAACATTTCTGAATAATAGTGGCATGATTTTTATGCTGTTTTGCAAACCGATTCAGACACCTAATGTGACAATATTCTGTGAAAATAGTTTGTGACGATAGCTTCATCATCAAAATTGCTGAAATACATTTAATCTATGATTACACAAAGCCATTTAGAAAGTGGTGAAATGCAACATATGTTATATTTGGGATTACACTTTCTTAGTAAAATACAAATTCTAGTACTTTTGGGGTTGAGTCCCATCCGGGATTCGAACCCACACTCTCAGAGTCAGGCACCTAATCGCCAGCACTCAAAGTCAGCCGCCTAACCCGTCAACAACCAGGTGTCAGTGTTATAGCGCAGCAGACCACGGGAACCAGACTGATGACTGAGGTTCGACTGTACATGCATCAGTGTTACAAATGATGTCCTTTTCAATTCAGCATTGGGACTGGTGGGGCGGAATACGCTATCAGTTTTGCTAAAACTACATATCATCACTATTTATAAACACATGGTTATGATGTAGTAGGAATCATAAAGAGAAGAGAGAATCAGGAGAGAAGCAATATTCAACAATTTTCAGGACACGAGTACCTCTGCTCTTAAGTTCTACACTTACACATTTTGCTCACCACGAGTGGTTATTGGAGCATATAAACGAGTTTATCAGAGCAGATATGTTTTAATCAGGTGACCACTTTTATAGAGCTTAACACGTCCCCGTTGTAACGCAAGCAGGTAAAATACAAATGGTCATTAACCGCTAATGTTTTATTCCATTTTTCAAATCAGCTGCAGAGGCGAAGCAGTGGCTACCATGCATTATACTGGGTGTAGGTATGTGGTCTGCACAATGTAATAGCGCTATGGAGGAACGTTACGTTAAGAAGTGCAAACCCATTTGAACGCTAAGAGTACGTTCTTTCAGGTCGGGTTGTATTTCAGCTATAAGAAAAAGGAATAAGACCATCGTAATGAAATGGTGAAATGAACACGTGAACGAAGGTGTAGTGTATCGTGACTCGTGGTTATTTGAAGCTTAACGGATGAACACAAACAATCTTTTTTCACATGAAGAAAAACGAAAAGAGGTCTGCATCTTAATATAACTTTATGGTACACGATAGTCTTACTTACATGACTTATTCTTATTGAATCATGTCGATGTAAAAGAAGAAAACACGAAAGAAAAGAATACAATACTTGTAATGTCCAAAATCCAGATACATATACTCTCAAGGGGGACCATGATATATAAAGGCTATGATCCGTCGTCTGCAGAAAGTGAACATTGAAAAATGACTGCTAGAGAACCATGCACCTGGTCAGGTGGATCACTGAATGTTACTAATATTGGTCATTGTTCATTATCCGAAGTAGCGCATAGGCCCTCCACTCATGCTTAACTGTAGTGTTAGTGAATAGATTCGGAGTGAAGGCCTTATGCTTTAGGTCGAGCCAAAACCGACAGCAAGAACGCAGCTGACGTGCGCCAAGCCACCTGAATTCACAATACTTAGTTCAAATTTTCTAATCTACATCCTCTAGATCTGCGATGACGTGTACCGTCATCATGTGGCAGACATATTGCGTTGCATTATACAGGCATGTACAATACCAGTGTAAAATACATTCAACACTCTTCCATTATTGTCTATGGATATTTGAGCTTCTCTGATATATTTACTAAGTAAACCTAGATGGGATTGGAATATTCATAACTATTTCATTACTTACCTTATACCTACAAGAAACTTTAACAGTAGACGTTTATGCATCAGATTGAACACTGACAGCTACATAGCAGGCTTTAGTGACGTAACATGGACACATCCATCAAAGCCATCGCCTGATTGTGTATTGTATGGAGACAGCAGCTGCAGTGTCCAAGTTATTATTACGTAACAATACAGCAGCGACCTTTCGTCGGTCACGATTTACACCAAGACAATGTACGCTTCAGTGAGTAAAGTATCACTCAAAGTCATAGGATGGGGGTTGGGGATTACTATGAAGGCCAAACATCTTCACTGCACAGTAGACTCAGTATGTACAGAACCACTGACAATAAACTGCTTGCTGTAATCGTTAAGGGACGAAACATTTACGCCTCATTATTTAATACAGTTTGTGTTACACGTGTATGGTAGAAGCTTTTTTTGTCGGTTGTTAATTTAAAACGATCGAATATGAACCCACGGAGGTTGTTCTTGTGACTGATAAACTAATATATTCTTATTCTGATATACTTAATTATTATATCAGAATAACTCAATTATCTATAGAAAATAATGGAAGCATATTGAGTGTAATTTACACTCGTATAATCTTCCTCTTGCGTTTTAGCATTTGATCCCAAAAGCTGAATTTAGGGTAATTCTAGACAAATGACATGTAATATATAACTATTGACATATTGAAATATAATAGTATAAATATACATGTAAAATATAGACATGGTGTGTAATTTTGTAACTTATCTGGACACATTTTGATTAATGATAATCTCTTTCGAATTGATATTGTTACATAGCTCTAATACAATGAAGAATGTTTGATGGACAACTAGAATCTCAGTTTGGAGGGGTTTCTTCAACACAGTCTTCAATGTTTTACCGGAAAGGAACGATACATTTAGAGTAGAATTGACTGATATGCTTCGACCCGAAAATTGTTTCTTAATTTTGAATCCAGGCCAGTTAAGAGAAAGGGTTGGCCAAATCGTGCCAGTTATGTACATATTACTTTTAAGTCACTTAACAATTTCATGGATATTTATTAATAAACAGTTACTTTCAAGATGCAGATATAGTTTCACATTGTACTAATGAATACTTTTATAGCAACAGGCCTGGTAATTTTCTAAACTGACTATTCTCATCTTAACAATGGTCTGTCGTTAGCTAATAACTATACAGTCAGTATCATTCTAGTTGAATTAAGAGTGGTCAGGTAGGGTCACCACATTATTCGCAGCAAAACTAACTTACTTTCTGTTCTTGAGGAAACCTAGTGGATACTGGGTAATGTAGGTTTCCGCTAGGTTTCAGTATCCGGAAACAGACGATGAGAGTTTCCGCTTAGTTTACAAAACTGAAACTAACAACTGTAGGTTTCCGTCAAGTTTCTACAACTGAAACTGCCATTCTGAGTTTCCATTTAGTTTCAGTTCGCTGAAATATTCATAGCAACTAAAACTCAACGGAAACCTGTTGGAGTGTGGGTAACGGATACCTTGCGGAAACCTGTTGGAGTGAGGGTAAACCGAAACCTTACGGAAACCCTTAGAAAGTGGGTAATTGTAAGTTTCCGTTATTGCGGAAACTCAATGTAAGAAAGGAAACTCACTGGATTCTAGGTGGAAACTTAAGTTTCAGTCCACTTTCCATCATTTCCATTTTTGCTGTGATTGTGTGCCCTGATTGAATCCAATCTGGCTGGATGTTTTGAACCCTTACCCTCTTTTCCTAATTCAGGTCTTCAATTCACTTTCACCCCCCTTGCCCCAGCAAGACGCTTGTAGTACTAGTGTTTGGAATCACTGAGATAACCCGCAGGTCACTTTAATATTTTATATAAGTAAATGAGTGCTATATGTTTGATGTTTATGAGTAAATATAAAATGTAATTGGTGTATTAATATACAGGTAATATTTAACAAGTTAATAGGTGTAAAACATAACCCAGTCAGGGTTTAGTCAATTTCAAATAATAGAACTTAACATGAAAGTATCCGAGTAACTTTTCCAGTGTTTGCAGGTTTCCTATTAGGGATTGTTCGCATATTTTGGATGTTTGATTGATTTCATGAATGAGAGAAAGGATAGTGTATGTGTGAATGTAAGTAAGATGTGATATTAGCTTGAGCTGTTTGTGATTACGTGCCGGATTTCGTAATGATACAAATATATGTGTTTGTAAATTATCGTAAATGTAACGTCGCATATTGTTGATACAGATTATAGGTATGCTCCATTAGCTTGGCGGTGCTGTATTCTACACCCTAGTGCCATACACAGGATAGGAAGTACTTTACATAGGTTATAATGTTTATGTAAGGTTGTGTGCTAAATATATTCTATATGGGTATGTGTATTGAATTAAGATGCCTTACCTTAACCACATTTTGTTTACTCATATGTCAAAAGTAATTCATTGAGTTATCGCCCCTTGTAGCTAATCCGTGTCCGAATCTGTCCGACCAGATTTCATCTATTTCATCTAAAAGATGTAATAGTATGACATTGTATTAATTTTATTAAATCATGTATTGTTTCATGGTGTGTTCTTGCACGAGTAAATGTTCTCACCACTTACCCGTGTTCTAGATTTTGTTTTATCCAATCACTACCCCGGTTACAATCATATAGACACATTGCAGTTTGATGTCAATGGTGATTGACGTAGAAAGTGAGGGAATCCATGACTTTCTTCATAGGCTTGGACGTGATGCGAGGCGTCCTAACGTTCGTCGAGCGAGCTCCAACGTAAGACATCATGATAGGGATTGGGTTGGGTCTGCAATGCTGTGTTGGTGAACGTTTTGCCTTTCCAAACGATAAGGCTCATTCCATCCGTGCACCCTTTACGCACTGACTACCACAGCAGCATCATGGCCAGAATGTAACAGTGTTGACCTTTCCCAACAGGGCACGTCTAGCACATAAGTGGGAGACGTGTATGGGAACGTCAAAGACCCTCGCAACGTTAACAGAAATGTGCCAGGTGCTCCAAGAGAAGTATCAAAACTCCATCAAAAGTCATTAATGTTTTATTTAATTGTCATATTTATTCATTCGGACCATGTCATGGCGTATAAAAGGATGTTTAACCAATCAAATCAAATCAGTTTTATTCCTGCACTGAAGAGGCTACAGGCCTGTAATACATCCATGTATGTCTTCAGTTGCATGATGGTGTTCTATTATTTCTGTCATGGCCACTTTTGGATTTGAGTTGATCGTCAATATATGGTACAAGGCTTCATGGAAAATGATGATTAAATAATTATCTGGAATCGGCCTATATACAGCCTTAGACCTATCTAATCCAACAAACCTCACCTTGTATCTTGGCTGATATTGGGAGATGGTTCGCTGCCAAGAACACAACCCTTCTGACACTCTACGGAAGGCAGAAGGCTGCAGTGTCGTGGAGCCTATATATTCTCCGAAAGGTTCTTTGTGAGTTTGAATGGGCAGGTCTTCCTGTAAGACGTCCCATTCACTGCCGGGACTGTTTGTAAAAGGAGCAATGGCCCCAAATAGTAGCCTAACTAGCCTGACTGTGGATCACCTAAACTCTGTGACAGATGACACCTAGACTATATGTTCACAATAGGCTTTTAAAACATCGTTTTCAAGATAATTTCTTGTATCTGTGACTTCTCGTGTTTTATTCGTTGCCATCTTTACCCTGTCGAATTTGGAACACTCTAGAAAACCAAAACCGCAAAACTCTTTGAGGCACGAATACACATATGAGCGAAGTTTAAGACTTGCTCAGAATAAAGGCTTTTATCAAATCTGGATGGGATCAAAGTCCAAAAGGAAGCCACAGAACATGTACCTTGAGGAACCAAGTTTAACTCGGTTAAACACCTGTAAATTTATTTACCATGCCCATAACGTGGACAAAGAGATCCATTCTACAACAATAATAACCAACAACAGCAAACAAATAACATAAACGGTGTACACGCATTACAAGCAGGAGTGTCAAACTGACAGGGCTTCTGCGATGCTGACTAAACATCATGCGATAAAGTTAAACCATACCAAAGATGAAAAAGAACAAAAATGCTTAATTGTCCACTGCATGCACGAAACAATGTAATCAACTGAAGCGAAATGTCCTCACTGAAATCAAGATGTCACAGATGATAAGGAGTCCAGCATACTAGGTCAGAACAGCCAAAGATGATTCTGAAAAAGAACGAAAATGCTTAATTGTCCACTGCATGCACGAAACAATGTAATCAACTGAAGCGAAATGTCCTCACTGAAATCAAGATGTCACAAATGATAAGGAGTCCAGGTATACATAGGTCAGAACAACCTGACAGTCCTGGAACATAAAGATAGATTGGTTTTATGCAGTATTTCACTTGTATCAGCCTTTGTGAGCTGCGTGTAGAAAGAGACCCCAAAGTGTTGCAGGTCTCGGGTGAAACCCACAATCATGGTTCTAGTGCTGAAATGCCTAGAAAGAAGACGAGTGCGAGTTGAGAGGAATTCCTGTTCAATGCAATGTGCAAATCATTTCAATGAGTGTAATTAAGTAACAAATGCCATCTTGAGTAAAAATGCCATCTTGGTATGACATAATTTCCTCATTCTCGTCAGAGAGATTGGTTATAGTAATTATCTGGTCTCGTTTTAGTACGTTGTACATTGGGGAGGCTTTTAATAGTAATCCTCATACGGGCATCAAATATTGATCAACCACAGAATAGTCATGTTACTGTGCAAATGTCTTCGAAATATATTACAAGCGAATGGCCATATTTAACAAACATTTTCTCTTTAGCCTATTCAAGTTAAAAACAACTTCAGGCAAAGGTTCAGCCCACTTTCAAAGCATTTAAGGCACTTCGGTGGGGTCTAAACATCGATTTAAATTTGTTCGTTGCAAAACCGAAACGGGAGCTTTTGTTCAAGTCTCTTTTCACAGGCGTATAGAGGTGAACCGAGCTCATTCCCTATTACCACAGCCCCCACAGTCAACTATGTGCCTAGTCATGCAGTTGCAGGTGAATAGAGGTGAACCAAGTGTCTCTTCTATTACCAGAACCCCATCAGTCGACCTGTACAGTCGCCCAGTTACGCAGTAGTGGAAGGATACAGACTCCTCTGTAATATTCAAACGTCACTTGTACACAGCCAACATTTTGGATACTGTTGGATTCTGTCTTCTCTTCTGATTTGGTATTCGATTCGACAGTCTAAAGGACAATGTACTTTGACAAATTGTTGTGTGTATTTTGCATTACGTTGTTCAACATTTTACCCCTTACAGAAGGTAACTGTAGTGTTAACAATTTACCCATTCAGCCCAACTTTGACCTCGATAAGGTAAGCCATATTTGATCTGTTTCTTATATATCCTTGTTACTGGATGGAGGTGTATGCTTAGACGTGTAATTTGGTTTTTCCTTACATTATGAATTTAAGGTTTTATACACCACTGAAACCACTGTTGACTATGACATGGGAAGCTACAAATGTCGTAGTACAATGTTAGTGTGTCACCAGTGATATCCTTGTGCTGGTAGTAGAAGATGTGTTTTCTGGACATGGTCGTATTATACAGTATATGAACCTTCCATCCTGACATTGCCAGAACGATTTGGGGCGGTTGGGTAGCCTAGTGATTAAAGCGTTCGCTCGAAGACCCGGGTTCGAATCCCCACATGGGTACAATATGTGAAGTCCATTTCTGGTGTCCCCCGCCGTGATATTGCTGGAATATTGCTAACATCGGCGTAAAACAATACTCACTTACTCACTCACTCACTCAGAACGATTTGACTCGTGAGATGATTAGATCAAAATGGTAGCCGATAGAACACCACAGCCGATAATGTTACATGCCCATGGATGGATCACCTTCCAATTCTTGTCCTTTACCGTTCCCGTTTGTTGATGTTTTCGACCAAGACGACTAATTACTTGTGATAGACGTAACGGTCTCCAACAGACCCACATGACATTAGGGGGCGGTGGGGGAGCCTAGTGGTTAAGGCGTTCACTCGTCACGCCGAAAGCCCGGGTTTGATTCCCCATGTGGGTGCACATGGTGTCCCCCGCCGTGATGTTGCTGGAATATTGCTAAATCCGGCTGGAATATTGCTAAAACCGGCGTCAAACCCAACTCACTCACTTGACATAGGTGTATCATACATACATGTGATTTGCACCTTTAAATGTCTGACAAACTGCCGTGCCATGTCAGCAATAAGATCTTCGGAATTAACGTTATTCATCGTTAAACGTGTAATACCGACTATTGTACTTGACAGTGTGTCACCCACTCAGACACAAGCTTCAACAATGACTGCATGTGAAACCAGGGATAGCAATCTGTAGGAATTCTGCTCGTACTGTAGACTATTCAACTTTTGAGAATTTACATTACCAATCAAATCTTTTGTCAAGAAATGAGATCGTGACAAACAGTACATTACATAATGATCCTACACTCCAGTGTCCTTTATGTTGCAGTATGTAGGCAAATGGTATGAATACCAATGGCATACCAAGATCTACTATCAGCCAGAAGATAGATATAACGACTATTACCACTACTATGTTCAAACAACGAGTGGCAACATTACAAACTACATCAATGGACGGTAAGACACGGGAGTAAAATGCTTCACTTGTACTTGCATTGATGTGCATGCATATTATTTGATCTTCAGCAAGACATGCTTGCCGAAAGATAGAAGTAACGTGAACAGATGGTCAGGTTTTACTGATCTGATTGCTGCACGCCAGTGTATCCCGATTACATAGGTCGATGCTCATCAATTTCTCGATTGACTGTTCCAGACTATATTATAAACAGACCTCCATCATATAGTTGAAACATAGATGAGACACAAGCAAATAAACAAATACCGAAAACCAATATTTAGAAACTTGATATGGACTATTTACCAAATTCATGCCATTTCAACAGCATTTCAACAATGTCACGTTTGGAGAGAAGGTTCTGAGAGAATGCTCATAATAGATGGTGACTCCTTCGTAAAACCCACTGGTTTTGGGATGTTGGCACACAATAAGAGTAAAGAAAATCGACTGAGTGAAAGAGTGTCTTGTGTTTATGACCGGTTTGAACAGTCAGCTTAGAGTGGCAGGAGTGCAATTATTACGAGTTTACCAAAGATGTCAAGCCAACGAGACGAATGTGATGCCGAGAAACCTGAAACATATTCAGGGGGAACCGCAAGTTGAACCCACGGAAACGAAAGCAACTTCAGAGTGGGGAAACAGCATTTATGCACTTCACCTGTATCATATAGATCCGTTGGTAGTGTGTGAAACATATTGGTACGGGTAACACAGGTATTTACATATACACATTTAAACACGATGGCATTTCCCCTTTCAGTGATCCGACAGCCCCGGATGGAAAATGCTTTTTCGTGAATTTCAATCTCTACCCAACAAACAGTCCTGGAAAACTCATCTATACATCCCAAAGTAAGAATCCGCAGGTTATTAAATATAGACACAAATACAATCTGTAATCAGGGAATAGCAGCAGTTTCTTTGTTCAGACTGAGAATGCAAATAAAACGACAAGGTGTCTACATACAAAAATAAGTTGAAGACGCATTTACAAATAGGCCGGACCCTCACTATAACGTTTAAACGCCCATGTAAAACTATCACCCACTATGTTACTAAACAATGATATTCAGGATTTACGCATCAAAATGCAAATATGTAATACAAGTTATGAGTAATCATAAGTACAAGGTCTAATGTGCCTCTCCGTAGTGGGCCTTGACAGGAATGACATATACCTGGAACAAAACTTACATCAACCTTCCAGGAATTGACGGCAAAGTATCTTAGCAGGATTAGAACTAAAGCATTACCCATGTATACAAACTTTAGCTGAATATTCGTGAAAATGTATCAAATCATTTCGACAGAATTATATTGATAAATATTAAATAAAAAACACAAGATCACAAAAGTTGAAAGTCCATGGCACCGACGAGACGAAGTTTTGCAAACAAATTGTGATCTATACCAACTGTAACCTTGAGGAACCATGAGTAGAGAAATACAATAGCAACTTACACGAAAACATTATGTCCCTATCGGTGTGTTTCATTACCTGATAATCTGATAGTCTGAAAAGACCTGATGAAAAATCCGAATGCAATACAATGCAGTGCATATAGTTTTCGTAGGATGAGAGTGTTTCTGTGACTGTCAAACAAGTTTGCTCTTTGAATTAAATACATGCTACACAGCTTTTCATCACATAGGTTATAATTGTGAATAATGTCAAACAGTCCAAGAAGTCATTTGAATAGCTTCTTAATCCTGCAAGATATATACCAAGTTTCCATACGAATATGTTCTTTGAAATGAATTTCTATTTCCGTCTACCCAATTGTCCAGCAAACAAGACGAGCAACCTTGCAATGAGGTTAACGAGACTGTGCAACACCTTGGGAGTTACGCATTTCTTTTATTACAATCATGGTCACTGGTGGCTTTGTGTTGGACGCCAATCATGTTATTCTCGGCCTCAGACCTATCTAAGCCAACAAACCTGACCTTGTATCTTGGGTAAAATTGGGAGAGGGTTTGCTTCCAAGAACACAGCCCTTCTGACATTCGACAGGGGGCTGCAGTGTCGTGGAGCCTACACATTCTTCGAAAAGTTTTTGGTTGGTTTTGACTGGGCAGGTCTTTCTGTGAGACGTCCCATTCACTTCCGGGACTGATTGTGAAAGGAGCAATGATCCAAAACTGTGTGGATCACCCAAACTCCCAAATGTTTTGCTGCATTGTCCGATATTAACCTGTAAATGAGAATGGTAGTGATCATGATTCTAATCGCCATCTTTGTCATCCCCAGCTCACTAGTGTGGCTGGTTAATGCGTCATGATTTCTTTATAAAGCAAATGTACCATTTCCCTGTGATTGAACCTGTTAACTATTCTTCTTCAAGAGGGAGAATTTCCGTATTGGGTATTGGAAACCGACTACACTCAATACGCTTTTGTCTATGGCTGTTACAACGTTTCTAACGACGGGACATGCAATGAGGCTCAATCATGGATCTGGAGCCGAACACCAAAGTTTCCACAGATTATCAAGGACAAAGCTCCATCCTGGTACAATCTTACCTGCCTCCCAGCTTCTACCTTCCTGGACACTAAACAAGAAAAAGGTAAATACTGAACACATGCTCGTTTGGCAATGCACTGTACATGAAGTACGGTGATATGAAGTAAACGGTATTTCTCCAGTATGTGGGAACCTGAGTGAGAAGAAATTGTATGGTTTTGCAACTTTATGCACACGCAGCAATAAATTGAAAAATAACCACACCACCAATTATACACAATGCCGTTAACAACATTTATGTACTACTTAAGAATTGAATGTCACTCGTAAACTCGCTCGTTCACACCAGTTTGAACAACGCTTTGACATCGTTCATTTTTCAGTGCAAACACACAAAGTGACATTCAATTCTTATAATTTCGCACTTTGATGTTTACACATACGCTTTTTACCCACTTCTCCATGATTGTTTACAGTGATGTGTTTTAATACCTGTAAAATGTTGTAATGTCATTCTGTTCAAGACCGTATTGTAGCGATGTTTGTATACTTGGCGATTTTTTTGCACATGTATCCCAACCCTTGAAGAAATAGTTTTCAAAGTATTCCTTAAAAAATTTCAACAAATTGGTCAAAAGGTTTGAAACTGCTTTAATAAGCACAACGTCAATAAAATTATCAAACAGAAACAAATATCAATAACAGTATAATTTTAGCAAACTGTCATTGTACCTAGTATAAAACTTTGACGGATTCGTTTGACCTCGTTATAATACACTGACCGACTTCGAAGTTGTGCGGCGTGGCGAATAGGAAGCAGATCTCGTTGATGTATTCTATTTATTTGTGATTGTTTATTGTGAAATTTAATGAGCAGTATTTAAACAGATCACGGGGCAGAACCCGGTAACAGCGAGAGATTAAACTCTTGTGATAAGGAACAATGCTCGGCAATTGGAAATCTGTTTGGTCGTGAAGAAGTGACAGTGCCTAAATTGGGGTGACCTGAAACAGGATCGCTCGCTAAATTGGCATCACCAAATACAGCAAGATCATTGGGGTTCCTTGAAACCGTAGCGGAAATTTCGAAAATTAGGTCGCAATGGCTGGGACTTATTGTCGGACGCGTTGTCGGTCAGATTTTTGCAAAACTGTGCTCAGTTACATACAAAAAACAAGTAAGTGATATGTATAAATTAGAAGGAGTGTGAATGCAAATGATTTATTTATTTATTTTGTCCGGCAAAGAGAGAGATGAGGGTGGGGGACAGATGATTTTAATGCATTAAAAGGGGTTTTTCACTTCATTTATGTACATGTATGTGGTAATACCAGTAGAAAGCTAAGACCACACACCGTTATACCACAATGGATATATTTGATTAGTAATTAATTCCTTACTCCCGATTCAGTACCACGTCACAAACTGGTATTCTTTAAATCAACATCATCATTTCTTATTTTCCTTTCCACAGAATGCAATGTACCGGCCCAATACAAGATAACACCAGACCAAAGCTGTCAGGTCTCCGATGTACCAATACAACCGGACTTCAACATCACACTAGTAAGTGGTTTATGCTCAGTTGTAATATTGCTATATATGTTAACATATCGTCAACATGCATATGTTGACATATCGTTAACTGCTTCTGGGCGCTGATAGTTTCATCACTGTACTTTCCCTCCAGCACACACCCTGGAACAACAGCTTCTTGAAAGTAATCTGACTATCACTGAATCACACTGTGATCTTTGTGTCTTGCAGTTTAACGGCACTTGGTATGAGATGCAGTGGTTGGCACAGGTATACATCCCTGCATCTGAGTTGTTCCAGGATTACCAACATGAGTACATCCTTCAAGAAGATGGATCTCTGAAGGGATACATCAGAGGCAGGTAGGAACAAGTCATACCAGATCAGAAATATAGATACAGTCAAACATCGTACTTTTCCATTTTCATATGTCGAACTCTATCTATTTTTGTTGATAAGTCAACGTTATCATGATTGTAGATAACTGCATTTTTAATACAAATTCCCAAACAATCACGATTGCCGGAATATAGAAATACCAACATTTGTAAATGCAAAATTAATGCTTAAGGGTGTCATGAATATGTTAAAAGATCTACACATTCAATCTGTTCATTTCCAGGACTGACAAGGGATGTTTCTACAGACAGGCATCACTAACGTTATCTGGAACACCCGGGAAACTACATTTCAACGTCACAGAGGGAGGTTCAGGTACGCAATAAACAAACACATTATAGATGCATGACTGGACATTTCATCTGCGTACTGATGTTTGCTGAAATGTTTTTTCACACGTTTCACACGACCTCCCTCTATCTCGTTCTCCTTCACCGCTCCTCCCCTGAACCTAAAGTATAGTTTGCATTACATGTGGTAATCGATATAGTGACTATTGGTAATTTAATCATTGGCACAGATAACTATCCATACTGGATCGTCGATACCGACTACAATAACTACGCTGTCATGTACGGTTGCCTGAACGTGAGCACAAGTGGAAATTGCACAAGGGCTAGATCTACTGTATGGAGTCGCCGCAAGTCTCTGGCTCCAAATTTCCAGTACCGCGCTAACTCCTTCCTTCAGAATCTGTGTGTGAACCCTGCTGCGTTCCTCTTGACGTCCCAGAACAACCGTAATTGTACCATTACTGTTTCTTAATAACCATTCAAGTTACCCTATAAATAATACAAGTGTATGTTTAAAAGAGATCTCATTGTTTCTGAAAAATAATTGCAAGATACGTGTCGTGTCATGTTTTGTTTCCTTGCATGGTGTTAAACGCCCCATTTAGCATATCTCGAGCCATATTGTAATAATTGAGCCTGGACCAGACAATTCAGTGATTTACATTATGAACATCGATCTAAGAAATGTAGATCCGATGAAATGTATCCACCAAGTCAGCGAGCCCCATAACCTAATCCTGTGAGATCGCTATAACGAGAACTATGTGAGGCTGAGGACACATTCTAACCTAAATCTTCACGGATCATGTATCAAGTGGGTGAATGTGTCACCGTTTCATTTAGGATATGTCTTTGTGAAGTGTAATAATGCTTCTACCTTTCTCCAACAGCGTGTGACCCGTGTTACAAGCAGCCATGTGGAAAAGGTAGGTTGTGGACATATTAATGAAGCCAACCCCTGTGATCGGTTTTCTCGAACATGAACCCGCTAATGGATTTATCAGTCATGTACTTACGACGGATGTTAGGGACTTTATACCTCTCAAACGTGGACATGTGACTCAAAAATCAGAACATTCATATATTCTTAACTACACTGTTTACACTTGACGGTGACAAACTTGGTAGAGCCCTTGGTATGGGCATACGCCTCCAAATACTCATCGAGCATTTATAAGCGTGTATTACGATGTTTGTCTTTGTACATAACATTCTATAACATTTTGTACATCGGTGACAATTTGAAAAATGTATGTGAGGCTTCCTGGAAGATGTTAATTATACGAGTTCCTCATTGCCAGAAAGCCCTGTTTTCCACTTATTGCTTTTGTTCTGCTTTTCTTGTTGCAGAAATTAGCGGAGGAACTACTTCCATCTCCGACTACCAGCTTATCCTACTTGCACTTGTCATTTTCTTGTCCATTTAGTGCAGTGCATGTATGCATGCATGAGAGAGAATGTACCATTTGAAGTATAAACAGACGACCTTTGATCAGCGTCTTGACATTTGCACTAAAGTTCAATATGGGTGCAGTCAATGAATCAGATGGCATCAGATGCGTCAACATGTTATTGTTACACATATAAATATCCAAGAGAACATATTTACACCATAACATTTTTCATTTATATATATTTACAATTTATTTTTGAAGGTTGTATGAGAGAGAACTTATTATTTGAAGTATTGACTGCTGATGTCGTTTGATCAGCAGAGTCGGTACATTTGCACGAAAGCACAACCATGGCTGTAGTCAATGACTCAAATGGCATCAGGTGCACCTGCAGGTGGTTGTTACATATATGTAGGTGAGAGTATATAGTTTCGTTTACATACAATTTGAATTGTGTAAATGCGAATCAATAAACAAAAAATCATTTAGATCAATTTAGACCAATCTGCTTAATGAGTTGATGATTTAAAACATGTAAACATTGTATCATTTCTGAATCGGTGAGAACCCATTCCCGAAAAAACACAACTCAGCGAAAGTATCAGTCTTCTAAAAGTTACATCGGATTTGCTCGACTCAAGACAACGTTCACAAGTGTCAGTTGAACTGAGCCATGAAATATGCCGGTGAAATAAGGCATCTTCTCAAATGTTGCCTAAACTTGTGGGCTGGGTATCCGATAATAATGTTTAAATAAATACTGATGTATAAACCACTCCAGAAGTATTTTCATTGCAGCAGTTGCATACGGGGGAAATGTACGCTTTATGTTCATAACAGGGTTTTAATTCTTTTGGGCAGCAATACAAATGTGAAGTGAAGAGACTTGCTCAGATAGAAAGTCCCGGGAAGCAGCTTTTATTACATATGGACTACCTTTTAGTAATCATTATCGTAAGTCTAGGTTTCAGAAGAAGCCAAGTTGCAGTACATGTATCCATAGAGACATCACGTGTAGTATGCTCATTTAATTAATTAAATTAAAGGATATTTTATTATATAATCCACATATCCACGCAACTAGTACATGCTCAAGGCCCTGGGATTTTCCCCCTCGATCATTGGATGTCGATCTCAACAACACTACCTATTATCAATCTCAACTCTCAACTCTTGCAGACACTAGTTATTGTGGCTTTCTCATCCTAACGAGGTACCCATTCACAGCTGGGTGGACTGGGACACATAGTCACAGTACTTTGTCCAAGTTCACTGCACGTTGCTGTACCCGCAACTAGGTGTTTGCACGTATTCATGTGGCCACCATCTGGTCATATACCAACGGATTTGTGGGTTCTTTTTAGTGCACAGGGTTGTGTACTGTACACTAGTGGCTGTGACAACACTGAAAGAGTCTGCACACAAAGTTGACTCACAGGTGGGATCGATCCCGACACCTCAACCTCGCTGGGTCACTAGCCTGGCGCCTAAGCCAGCTCACCCACCGCTCCCCGGTTCATATCTTGAAGTGACTTTTGCAAGCCCACCCAGTTGGTAATTTTTAAGTCCGATCCAATTTCAAAAACGTTGCAAAATAACGGGTCGAGTTTGACAGTTAAATAAAAAAAGACATGGCAACATTTTTAATGCGACAGAATGATTGAAACAGCATCGTGAAACTAACTTCAACACGGCCTGTTACGTACCATTGAATTACGTCGGCCACGTCGTAAGGGTTTGACATGCTGTCGTGGACCTGATGAAGTCATAGTGTTGGTATGACTGAGTGATTGGCTGACCGAGTTTGGTTTTACGCCGCTTTTAGCAATATTCCAGCAACGTCACGGCGGGGGACACCAGAAATGGGCTTCACACATTGTACCCATGTAGGGATTCGAACCCGGGTCTTCGGCGTGACGAGCCATCGCTTTAACCACTAGGCTACCCCACCGCCCCGTGTTGGTATAAAATCTCGAACCATAGATAACAGTGTGAATAATGATAATGATAAATCTCGAACCATAGATAACAGTGTGAATAATGATAATGATAAATCTCGAACCATAGATAACAGTGTGAATAATGATAATGATAAATCTCGAACCATAGATAACAGTGTGAATAATGATAATGATAAATGTTTAGATATATAGCTGAAATACATGTGCATGTTTCGAGTATATGAAACCAAACGCAGATGTTGATTAGTATCGATCTTAAAAACCATATATGACTGGCACGTTCGACCTCCAGTAGATATTAGGTTCAATCTGTGCCACAAGACTATTTGTCCAATACCATAGAGACCATAAATGCTTAGCTATACATCAAAGCAGAACAAAAGTACTGTTTCGTGTTCATTGCGTGGATTCAGAATGTGCTGTATTTGTTTCAATTTGGCATTTTCACGCCAGAGTATGTGTGTGCATGGATCAGTCCGAGCTAATTCTGGCCAGTTCAGCAGTTTAACAACGATGCTTCACTCATTCACATTAAACTGACCCCAAGCTGACCATGGCCAGTCCTTGTTATAGTGCCGGCATTTTCAATGTCACGGGTGAAGGTTGAACCCCGATTCTCCGCTCGACAGGCAGACAATCTTTAATTCCTTCTCGACCACAAAGGCATTCCAGTAGATTTGTTTTATGCAACAAATATATGAAATAAATACTGAGTTCAAGTTGCAATAAGAATTGATATTCTGAACTCCAGAGAATTTAGGTTTCTTTATCTTAAACTCGTACCCTTGCAAGTGTATTTTTGTTTAGAAACATATGGGCGTAGTTTGCTACACAGGCACCGGTGATTCTACGGCGTTCACTTGCGCAGTGTATAAACCCAACAAAAACATTTTGGTGCACACAAATATCAATGTCGATCTCAGAAAAGGATACAGTTTCATCGATCCTTTGAAGCATAAGAGATGTAAGTCACATTATATATTTAGCCCTCTTGCTGTCTATAATACCTGATCTCACTGCATCGTGTACAGTAGAAGTGTCTCTCAGTAAACAACATTCTTCATTCGCTCCTTGAGTGTTCGTTTACAAAGACTCGTTGTTTTCTTCACCACCAGAAAGGTACAGTTAAGATGTTTATATAATAAAGTGCCACTGTTTCGTTTTCATACATATTCGTATTATCATAGTGAAAAAAACCTGTTCATAATATGTAGTTGCCATACATCAGATCTGGCCTTCTTTGTCAACCATCACTATTCAGAAAGTGTTCACGGCATATTCAATCTCCCTGACACCAGGTATGAGAACATCCATTGTTGGGATATTTCTGTTGCAAACGTCGATGAATACGTGCATTGGCTGATGATTTAGAAATACATCATGGCTTATCCAGGCCATGAGTAACCATTCTACTTTAAGGATGACCTGAATATAGGTTGGAAATCTAGTTACCTCCGATGTTCGAACTGAATATAAAGTAAACACTGTTTGCTGGTTTTACAAACTCAGGTTACTCCTTGACAAGAACAATGAATAACACTGTCCAAATATCAAGCGGATTACCATATAGATATACCAGGACTTCATATTTTGACCTCTGAATGCAGGCCAAATCGAGTTTACTCTCTTCTTGTAAAGCAACCCCCATACCCTGTATGATCTCCATTGTGCCCATATGTTTGGAGTGATTAGATTCTGTTCCCATTAGGCGACATCACCTCTGGACAATGTATGTATGTATGTGTGTGTGCGTGCGTGTGTATGATGTAAGAAACGTTACCCTCCTTCCTGAATGACGGGGGTACCTATCATAAGCTGGCGTTGTGATGCGTGGACGTCCACTCCTTGGTCTGTCTACGGTGACCCTAGTCTGTCTGAAGCCCTGAAGAAGTCTGTTAACCGTGATACGGTGGCACCCGAGGGCGTTGGCAACAGCATTGTATGTCGACCCCATCTTCTACATGTAAAATGGATGAAAATACTGCTTGAATATTGCTGCGTTTTGGCAATTGATTTTGCTGTGTGTGAACAGAAAGTGGAAAAATATTACAAAGATAATTTTAGAAGTTCCTAAGCATTTTTTCACAATATCAAAGATACGTTTTACTTCTTTTCACTAATGCAAATCAGCAGGAAATGTTTTAGAAGGCCGAAATCATAGGAATGATTATTTTACAATCTTAATTAGACAACTCTTTCATGTATTAATAGTTGAAAAATGGTGACTTTTAATGCTTTACCTTTGTCATAAAAAAAAATATTTTTATTTCAACCTTTCTTTTGGACATCTCAATCACTGTTACTGATTTATTTCGGTATGGACGAAATTAGGACAATTCAACTTTTCTGAAAAAGATGCATTTCACATAAATATGAATGCATTTGAGAATTTTGTTTCGCGATTTCCATAAAGCTGTGGTAGGGGTAGTTTTTAAGTAATGTATAAAGGGAGGAGTTTAACGTTCTTTAGGCGTTCAGTGTATGTATGTATGTATGTATGTATGTATGTATGTATGTATGTATGTATGTATGTATGTATGTATGTATGTATGTATGTATGTATGTATGTATGTATGTATGTATGTATGTATGTATGTATGTATGTATGTATGTATGTGTGTGTGTATGTGTGTATGTGCATGCATGACTTGCTCATTGTGAATGTGTGAGAGTGTGTATGGTCTTACGCAACAGAAATGGGCCTCACACATTGCACCTTTTTTATGGGGAATCGAACCCTGGTTTAGCCACGTGACTACCCCACCGACTGCAGAATGCATTGTAACGAATACAATTTGTGTCATATACTAATTAATGAAACATGTCATAGAGAGTTATTGTATAACTTGTATTTGATATTCAAGATCTGCAGCTTCATGTTCGCTTCTACCGTTTGCACACAGCTACATTACATTATTGCTCACGTCAGATGATAGTGAGATGATACATTCCTAACAACTAGTTATAATTGTTACAACACAATGTTATGAACTTCTGCCCAATCGTATCAAGCACAACATTATCTATACCTGATATCCAGCCGGTTTATCAAATGTGAGGGGCATCTAGTGAGCGATGTGAGGTAATCTTTAGGGCCAGATAAACAAAGAAATTGTCTCAATGAATAGATTGTACTAGAGTTTATTCCAAAGTTAAACAAATACTATCGCCACTGTTTTTACTATTGTTTCACTAAAGCCTACGACAACATTTCCGACACATTTTCTCCTAATCCATTAATAATACAACAACTGTGACTACACCTCCTCCAGCTACAACCGCCAGTAAGATGTACACAGACTGAAATTGTCCAGTAGATATGGTATGACGCAATATCATTCACAGCACGATAAAGAACTCAGCCTGTTATCGTCATATTCAGAAAGTTCGTGTCCTATTCAAGTGAAACCCCACGGAAAGAAAGACGCGAGTTAATGTTTTTATCCGCTATTTCGAATCCTTTGAAATGTGTTATCACATAACAGATACTACTTTGAAAGCGTGAAAGTTTGTTTGAAAGTTTGTGTGAACGTGAATAATGGTGGTGTTGTCACAGAGCGTGTGATACGAACTGAATAAAAACAATATTAGCCTCCGCATTTCAAAAGGTAGCGTTTGAATGATTGAAATAACTTTTCAAATAAGACTTATATCTGACAGTGATGCCATTTCATTTACACTTGAAACTATTCACCCTGTGTGAATAGGCGCTCAAAGTGTTTTGCATTGTATGTCTAAGAAATTATTTTCAAAACTTTTGTAAAGAAGGACGAATTCAACTTCAAGATAGAATTTGTTCAGCTGTTTGATAGTG